TTGTGAAAGTATTATATGCATATTAACACCTACAGATGACACTGAATTTCCTCCCTATAAAGAGGGGGGCTGTTAAAAGGGCATTTCTGGCCCATTCTAATGTCAATTGGAAATCATAACGCATTTTATTTCTGTACTGTGATGTATTTCTAAGTGAAACACAGTATCAGGGAGGGTCTCTGAGCTAGCTGATTAGCTGAGCATTTTCTCTCCATGATAGGTAGGGGAGGGAGGGGGAGGTGAAACACTGTTTGTTAATATTACTTTTCCATGCCCACCGGTGCACGTTAACATAATCAAGAATCAGAAGACGTTTTGGAGTTGGAATATAGTCATTACACTTCAATCAAAGATTATGGGAAGACAAGAATTCTGCCTTTTGAATGTTATGATAAAGCTGACAAAGGGAGACAATGTAACAAAGTGATACAAGCAAATTTTGATTTCATATTGACTTTAAAGTGTTCTCTCACGTGTTAACCCTTTCAATTTGTAAGTAAGAAGTGAGACTGAACCCAAAACACAAAAACACCTACACACAGACACATACATATCGCTGCTGTCGGAAAAAACCTTGTATCGTTTTTCAGTTTTTGACATAATCTGAAAATGCCTGTTGCCTTTTATATTTTGTGCAAATTGTCATGATGCATGGACCAAAAGAAACGACCCAAATTTCTTGGAAAACATTCTGGTTCTATTGACTTACTTTAAAAGTAATGTATGTTTTTTCCTTCTCCTGTAAAGTTACCATTTTGGCCATACAAGGTTTTGTTCCAATAGCAGCAATATACACAACTTCCAGGCACAATTAATCTAATAGAGCCCTTTTCTATTATTTATATTGAGACCATAGAACAGTTGTTTAAGTAGTCTAACATTGCAAATGACGGAGTACACAAAGCAGAACTAAGACTTTTCCGACATGGCACCCTAAAAGTCATGACCTTTATCTCACATTTCACCCTGAAAGCGACTAACACCTACAAACAACATTTAACTTCCTCTCTCAATAGACAATAAACACATACGCAATTCTGCATGTCAAACACACAGACACCGTCATACAGCAAGAAATTAGACTCATACACTCATTCAAATACAGGATGTCTGCACACTCACACACACACACAGCCTCTAAAAGGTTATCTTTAACCCTTAGAAGTCAAGCATTACCAGCATTATTGTGTTTTACTATTAAAATATAATTTGCAGTCACTAATTATAGTACAAACAATTAATTATGCACTTAATAATATAACTATTTACATTTGAGTTACATTCTGTGTCGACAGGTTTGAGTCTGCATTTCAGACTTTTTTTAATTTGTTTCAATGTCAAAAAACTACAAAAATGGCAACAATGTGAAGGATGTTTTTTCTCTCTGCCAAACACGATTTTACACACAACAACTACTTTTTCATCCAATTCAGATCATAATAAAATATCTCTTCTACTTCCAAATACAAATGTGGTATGGGTTGAAAGTTTACAACAGAAATTCTCCACTTTCAAGTGAGAAATAATTCACATCAAATCGTAGCATATGATGTTATCACTGGTAATGACTGTGACTTCTAAGGATTACAAGTCTTTACCAGCAAGCCATGTATGTATATGCAAATATTTCAATGTATACATAACCTAAAAACTTGGACATATTTGCAATTATTTACATTACTTAAATTATGTAAAGACACAAATTCACACTTTACATCACCCTAAATGACAGACCACAAGTCATAGGACAATTCCACCAATTTTCTCAAGATTTCTGCAGAATTCAAATGTCGAGATGTACACCAAGTCATTCAGAGTGGTTTGATGTAAAAATGGTTAATTACAGAGAAACTTGATGACTCTGATTTCTTTACAATGGGGGTGACACAAATATAGCCATTTTATTTACTATCCAAAACAGCCAGTAAAAGCACACAGATCTTCGTTTTTATATGTAATGTTGATGATGGAAAAATTGTGATAAATCTGAAAAAAATGTGCTCTTTTTTGGTGATTTTTTGGCCTTACAACATCCTGCACTGAATTCTGAATAAGGCCAAACCCTATCTCAAAACTATCAGAAAAATAACATCTAAGACATCAATATCTGTAACTACTATATTCAATAACTTGTGAGGGAGCTTTTAGAGGCATTAAACTCTTCAGACGTCTGGTTCCTATCACCACCTCTGTGAACAATTCTGACTCGGAAAGTTTCTCTAGCATCAAACCACATCAAACCACTCTGAATGACTCTGAAATCAGTGGACTTTCCCTTTCCTCCATGTGCAAGCATTTGTTAAAGCTCAACAAACACTTAAGCTATTACTTATGGTGTAGTTTAGTACAACCACTCAGAATCATCAAAGAAACCTACTTAGGGTTGAGAAGAAAAACAAATGCTAGTGAATTTCCAAACTGACCAAGTGCAAAATCCAAACATTATGCAACTGTATTACGTAATAAAAAATACCAGTTATCAACAGTTGTTTACATTGTAATTTCTCCCTGATAAAAACATTAAGATTAAGGATTGCCAAAACCCAGAGGTCAGCCAGTCATATTCACAAACACACACGTCTATGCTATCAGCAAACTGAACGTGACGATGTTCAGCAATCTGAGAAGTAATAAAACCCTGTACAAACAAAAAAAGCGTATTTGGTTGAAGATACGGCAGGTGACTGCTTCAGTGCTGATAAGATATGATGAACCGAGAGGTTCTTGTGTGTAAATATAACCTGTTTTTTCCCCATGTACAGTTATATGCAAAGGTTTGAACTCCTCCAGTTGAATGACGTTTTATTGATTTGATTTCTGAGAGAAAATAAGTTCCACAGGGAACTTAGATATAGCGTTTTAGTTTACAAATTCTATTAATATGCTTAAGATATTGAGAAAAAAATTCAACATAAAATATTAAACGTTCCATAACATTTGCACACAGTCACATTTTATTTTCTCGTCAATATGTTAAGTTCAGCAAATAAGCAGTAATTGTGTATTAAAATACATTCTCTGTAGAGGAACTTCTTTTCACTTAGAAAATCAACATGTCTCTTAACCACGGGCGCCCAAACTTTTGCTTACAACTTTATAAAAGAAACATGTGGCACACACACACCCACCTCCAAGGAAATAAATTAATAATAATAGTACAACCCCATTTCCAAAAAAGTTGGGATGCTGTGCAGAAAGTAAATAAAACTAGGATGAAATGATACGCAAATCAAGTAAACCATATGTTTAAAGGAGAATACTACAAACACAACATATCACATGCTGAAACTGAGAAATGGAATTGTTTTTTGAAAAATATACGCCCATTTCGAATTTGATGCCAAGTTCCAAAAAAGTTGGGACCGGGGCATATTTACCACTGTGTTTCATCACCTCTTCTTTTAACAATACTCTGTAAGCATTTGGTAACTGAGGAGACACTGCTATAGTTTTTTAAAGTTTGAAATGTTTTCCTGTTCTTGTTTGATATAGGATCTGGACTGCAAGCAGGTCAGTTTAGCACCCGGACCCGTTTTAATACGGAGCAATGTTGTTGTAATACATGCAGAATGTGATTTTACATTGTCTTGCTGAAATAATCAAGGCCTTCCCTGAAAAAGACGTCATCTGCATGGGAGCGCACGTTGTCAAAACATGTATATATCATTCAGCATTAATGGCGCCTTCACAGATGTGCACGTCACCCATGCCACGTGCACTAATGCACCCCTCTACCATCATGAATACTGGCTTTTGAGCTGTGCACTAATAACAAGCTGAGTGGTCTTTAGCCTGGAGGACACAGTGTCCAGTGTTTGATTCGTCGGACCACAGGACACTTTTCCACTTCCCCTCAGTCCATTTTAAATTTGCTCAGGCCCAGAGAAGGTGCTGGCGTTTCTGGATCCTGTTTATACATGGTTTCTTCATTGTGTTTTAGAGTTTTAACTTGCATTTGTGGATGCAGTGCCAAACTGTTTTCACACACAGTGGTTTTCAGAAGTGTTTCTGAGCCCACGCAGTGATTTCCACTAGAGTATCATGTTTTTTTTTTTTTTTTATGCAGTGCTGCCTGAGGGCCCAAAGATCACGGCCAGCGAATATTGATTTTTGGCTTTGTCCCTTGCATAGAGAGATTTCTCCAGATTCTCTGAGTCTTTTAATGACATTATGTACCGCAGATGATGAAAAGCAAAGGTTCTTTGCTATTTGAAACATTATTCTTGAATTGTTGCACTATTTGCTTGTGCAGTCTTTCACAGAGTGGTGAACCCCTCCTCATCTTTACTTCTGAAAGACTCAAACTCTCTGGGATGCTCTTTTATATTCAAATCAGGTTACTGACCTGTTGCCAATGAACGACCAGGTGTTTTTTTTCAGCAGTACACAACTTCACCAGCCTTTTGTTGCCCCCGTCCCAACTTTTTTGGAAAGTGTCGTTGGCATCAAATTCAAAATAGGCATATATTTTTTACAAAACAATAAAATTTCTCAGTTTCAGCATTTGATATGTTGTCTGTACTATTTTCAATTAAATATAGGGTTTAAATGATTTGAACATCATTGCATTTTGTTTTTATTTACATTTTGCACAATGTCCCAAATTATTTGGAAATGGGGTTGTAAAATAGTAAAAAAAAAAATGTATTAATTGCCTGCCTATGTGTATAAGTCTAGTGTCGCAATCCATTTGCACATGCACGTACTCACTCTCACGGAAAACAACACTGTAAACCAAACCATATACAAACACAGAAAACAGCAGTTTAACCAACACACACCATACACACCCCACCATACACACACACATACCACATACAGAGAGAGAGAAGGTTTGTGGTGAGGACAAAATGAAAAAAATCATTTTAAAGAAAGGAAAGGGAAAAAAAAACACAATAACAGAGAACAAAACGGAAAACAGTAAGCTAAAAGTAGGCTAGCTACAGCACGTAAGCACAAAGCATAAGCCAAAGGATGGAAAAAAAGACAGAAAGATCAACCTCAGCCACATCCAGCTCATCGTCAAAGGCAATCAGCTGCAAGAGAAGAATACAGGCTTAGGGTTAGTAGGGAAGGAGGCAGAACCGAACCCAAATGCTCAGATACCGTGTGCATGACCATAGCCGAAAAAAGGAGAAAAAAACACAAAAAACACAGGAAAAATAGAAATTAGTATTTAGAACTGTTAGCCTTTTTAAAAAGCACTGGTCAGTACCAGTATCAAAATATAAAATTGACCTACAGCAAGTGTCAAACCCGAGTACCGGGTAGCTGCAGCATTGCAGAGTTCAGTTTTTCACTCACTCCAACACACTTCACTCACTTCATTAAAGGCTTAGCTGAAATAATTAGTGAGTTGAAGTAGAACAAAACACTGCAGTCCTGCAGCCCTCCAGAAGCAGAGTTCTGACAGTCTTGCTGTAGACCAAGGCTGTGGTTTGAGTGAGATTAGTGCGAAGAGTTTTATTCAGCCAAAGGACACAGATTATTAGTTAACATGCTTGTGGCTTTAAGAACATGCTGGCCCTCTTAAATGCTGAATAAAATGGTAGTGTTTTTATCTGTATAGCAGGGAACGGTAACCCACAAACCCACATCAAAGAATGTAACTGTTACAGAATCCGAAAGGCTGTCAAGAAGATAAGAGTGAGGGCAGAGTCCAGTTGTATGTATGCATGTGTGAGTGTGTGTTTGTGCGTGTCTGTATCTTATCAGTAAAACAGAGGCTGAAATATGGCACATGACTGGTAAACTGTCGTGCTTACATAACTGCAGACAGACGGAGTGATAAGGGCAACCTTCTACTGCATGTGGGATTTCAAACAACAAGGTCTGGACTCGGTGGAAAGGGTCGGTGTGAATGCGTTTTACCTTTTCTCCATAGCCCCGGTCTTTCGTCATCATCTCTCGAAGAGTCTGCAGTACTTTAATGCACAGACGCTCCTCATTCTCTTCCAACAGCTGTTTAGTGTGCTTTATTAGCCTTAGAGAGAGAGAAAGGGAGAATGAAATTAACCTCTTAAAATGAACAGGGAAGTTAACTGAACTCCACTGAACAGAACAGCACTTGACCGGGCCAATAAAGTCGACTGAGCTCAGCCTAACCACAAGCCTATAGGTATACTAACATTTTGCACCATCTCAAATCCTACCTTGGCGTTAAAAGGTGACTGTCGCAAATCAATAAATAGGTGCAACGTGTCTATAGAGCCCATTAAAAAACCAAATGAGTGCTTGCTGCTATTTCTTGCATTTACCTCATTGTATATTTATCTGTAGGAGTTTCAATCTCAAATCTCAAAATACTGTGAAGAGATAATTATAATGAACCACAGAACCCTATTTCCTTGTTTTTTGGAAATAAAAGTTTGATGTAACATGCAAACATTGTTAAACTTTTCAAAACATATCATTCGCTCCCCAGTCAATACAGTGCACATATGGAAATACGAAAAATGTGTTGTCATGAAAAACACAATTACATATATACACCCGCTTAGCCTACAGCAGTTTTGCTCCACCTATTTATACTGAAGTTAGAAAGAGTGTTTCAGGTGTTTTAAATGACTGTTAAAAGCACATATTTACTCTGACTATGCAATCACTGCATTACTAAAGCTACTAAAATTCCTTTGTCTGTGCTGTGGCTTCTGTTACAGAAACGTCAAAGCAATGTTTTGATGCACTGCACGTAGCCAAGAGGTTAAGCTAATAATACAGTTCTCAGTTGACCAGGACGTGCTCAGTGAAATTAAACAGGTATTTTATAACATCTCACAGTTCTCAAACACAACTGGCACAGAACTCAAGTTCAGTGTCATCCCTCCAGCTGGAAATGAACATCTGTTTCAAAACTCAAAAAGTCAAAATAAGATCTGTCTCAGAATAGCCATTATTTAGACATACTAAGTCAACACCTCAAGAAAATGTCATTATTTTGACCTAATGAGTCACAATTTGAACTTAAGTCAGAGAAGGATTAAAAGACTTCTTTTCTTCTACGCTACAGCTTTCATCCAAAAAGCACTTGAGCCAGTCAGGGGTTTATATTGTGCTTTGTTCATTCACATGTAAGTTCTTAGTAGATAACCCACTAAATGGGCCAAACGCACAGGTGCAAAGTGTCCGCAGACTGTCCGCAATAACTGCCTCTTTCACTAAATCTGCCCTTATATATTCTATTTTAGTGAGTTCATTTACCCCTCAGAGTATGAGATTTGAGTATGGAGCAAATAAACAACTCAGCATGTCCCACACAGAGGTCATATTTAGTGGGTGTCCATACAGCTGGGTGCACCACCAAAGTAAAGCCTTTGCGTGAAACACACTGAATTGCTTATTTACTACTTACTAAAAGCTTGTATATTATATTTAGAATAATGTAAAAACCGTTAATTCCTTTTCGATAAATATATGCTTTGAACACAGCTTGGGTTGGCGGGAGGAGGAGAGAAAGGAAGAGTGAAGCAGTTTACAGGGGAAAAATACATAACTGAAGCTCAAAGAAGACCAAGACGCAACTAAGTCTGAAATAAAAAAAAATATTTGGCTGTAAGTGACATCTACATATACTTGTAAAAGAAAAACTTATGAATTGTGTTACTTATTTGTGCTTTGAAGGCTGTGCCCCTCCCTCCAGCAATAAAGTATATTTCATATCTAATAAAAATAACAATAATACATTTTATTTTATGGGATCTTTTAAGAAACTCAAGGACTCCTTATAATACAATATTAAATAAGACCAAGGTCATAACAACCACAAGTTTTATTGACCACAAAAGTAGACAATGAAAGCAAAATAAGAGCATATTTGTGGGACTGAAGTGAAATGAGCTTCTTCCTGAACAGATGTGCACTGTTGTGCTATGACAGTAACTGAACTGAATGACAGGCAGGTGTTTCTGTCTCTCTTCTGAGTGCACGTGCTCACAAAGCACACAAACACGTTTCAGTCCACACTGTCACTCCATTCAGAACAAACTAATCCCAAAGAGCACACCTCTCCAGCAGCAGCTCACACCTTAATCCCAACAGAACCCATATACACACACACGCACACTCAAATGTGCAGACATTCTTAAACCCTTCAGAAACCACTCCTACAGCCAAACAGAGCAGCGTCTGAAATGACAATGACATGCGCACACGTGCACACACACATAAACTGTTTACACTGAGGTACACATAGTGACAGGTACAACCCCAAATCAGAAAAAGTTGGGACGGTATGTTCAATTAAAACTGAAAACAACGATTCATAATTTCTTGACCTGTATTACATTGAAAACAATACAACAGCACATTATTTGATGTTTTACTTCATGAATTTAGTTTATTTCAAACTAAAGACTTCAATTTTGTCAATTTAGTCAATTTTGTTTATAAAAATGTTAGGACAAAAAGCATTTACCACTTGGCAACGTTGCCGCTCTCTTTCACAACACTTAAAAGACATTTAGGGACCAAAGACACCAAAAGATGAAGTGTTTCAGGTGTAATTTTCTACCATTCTTTCTGCAAACAAGCGTTAAGGTGTGTAACAGTACAGGGTCCTCATTGTCGCATTTTGCGTTTTAAAACGCGCCACACATTCTCTGTTAAGGACAGGTCATGGCTGCAGGCAGGCCAGTCCAGCACCTGCATCCTCTTCTTTTGCAGCTATGCCTTAGTAACTTATTTTGGAATGTGATGCAGATCTGAATGGCAGGAATGGATGTATATTTACTAATTAAATGAAGCTGACCACAAAAAAACAGTGTTTTCTTCTTTTATTTGCATTTTCCATACTGTTCCAACCTTTTCTGATTTGAAGTTAAATCAAACACATGTTCACAGATCCTCCATCACAGTTCTTATAATTGGAGTTTAGAAGTTTGGCAACTCAGGCATTAAGTCCAGCACTGTTATTTTGAGGTGTAAACAAAGGCATTTTGTTTACAGGTAAATGACAAGGCTTTCAAAAGGAGCATTTAAAAATTCTTGTTAAAAAGAATATGATGTTTATGCATCTGGTAGAATGTATTCATTTTGTATTTGTATCATATGTATTTGATTTACAGCTTTTATAACGGTATAATTTCATTTTCAAACAGTTTTAAATTTTACCACCTAGAAAATATGAAGTGTGATTACCACACATTAATTAAAAAAACTATATATATGTATGTAAAAATAAAGATGAATACAATTTTTGCTCGAGTAAAGCTCTGCCTCCTTTTTTTTGTTCCTTTCTTTTCTTTCTTCTCCTTTTTTTTTGCTCAATGATTTGTATTACTATTTTTTTTGTACGTTTCCCTTCCCCCCACCTATGACTGTGCCTACATGCGTATGTAATATATTACAAAATAAATATTACAAAATATTACAAAATAAATAACAAAGTCCTAACAGTCCACCGAAGAGGGGGGGTGGTTGACGGGAACACCTCCTAACAGCTGCTATGAATAAATACATCTGTGTGCGAAGCACTGATAGCTCATCAGATTAGGGAACAAATCATTGAAAACATGGTCTTACTTAGAGATGAAGCCTCCGCTCTCACACTTCCTGCGAGCATCCGTGTTCTCAGGGAAAAGCAGTTCAGGTCTGTGCAGAACGTCCACAAGCACAGAGAGCTCTGCCTGCACAAGCGGTCGCAAGCGGTCCTCCAGTGCAGAGACGATGTCCTGATATCCACATACAAAAACACATGGTTGATTATTCCAAGTCCATGCCCACAAAGATAAGCATGCATATGGACCAGGGGTGTATCAATTCACAAAAATCATAAAAAAAACAAGTGGCTAAAAATATGCATTACATTAATACATTATTCTTTCTATTTTAAGCTTATCAGAGCATTCATCACTATAAAACAGAATATTTGAAACAAAAGCTGATTTATAGGGTCCTGATCTATCTTTCTAGCCAAAGGTTAATATGTTAACCCACTAGCCACAGGCAAACATGCTAGTCATGTAAGGATACTACAAAATACACTGCGATACACTTTGAAAAGAATATCGTATGGGGTGTTGCCTACACACACATACAGGCCTGCGCAGGTAACAGAATCTTCTTATTACTAGTAGTAGTATTAATACTACCACTCATAACAATAACAGCAAAGGAAGTGATGGTGTGCATGTTGAAGGTTAATCTTTGTAAAATAAAATTCCATAATGTAGTTAAATTAAAGCTGTGGTTGACATTAACAGTCATTTCATTTGGCCATGAAAGTGTAACTAATCTTGTGAGAAAGAATGAAATGTTTTAACTGTCCAAAGCTGTGGTATCTGTAGCCACTTAGCCTAGCCTTATTCTGATTCAGAGCTGATAGAGGATAGTGTTTTTCTCCCAAGCCATTTTGTCTGTCTGAAATCTGTCTCTGTGGTCTTAAGATGTCCTACGCATTTCTATAATAATCTCATTTAAGTTAGGTGCAATAAATGGGATATTAATGCAAAATATAACATTTCTCAACATATTTAAACATACAGTTTTGTTCATGTGGGGGAATACTAGTGTCTTGACTCAGTTTACTTGAAATAAATCAATGAAGTAGTGATGTTTAAACTGGTGTTAAAAGACTTTTTACCATCACTGGGGATGTTACCATTGGACCTCATTCACCAACTGTTCTTAAGAAGAAATTTCTTCTTAAAGCCCACTTTCTAGGATTCTGACATTCACCAATGTTTTCTTATTTGGGGTTTGTTCTTAGGTAAGAACTGAATCTACACACTCGAGAGCACAAAGGTGCGAATAATTCTGCGGTTTAAGAACACGTCATGAATCTGATGTAAACTTTGTCTTAGGATCCTTCTCAAGAACAAATTTAAGAAGAAACTTAGGAGGATACTGGTGAATGAGGCCCATTGTTGTTTAACTGTGACTGGGCACACACACATATACACATATACACACACACACACACACACACACACACACAACCCTTCACAACGTAACAGTTTAGGCATGCATTCTCTCCAGGGACTTTATTGGAAAATGCTTCTCTATCAGCTGCCATTCATACAGTCTTGGGGTTTGCTTCTAGAGTTTTTTCTCTTTTTCTCCAAACCCAAACAACTGCCTCTAATATCCTCCTAAAGAGCCTGACTAGATCAATCTTTAATACAGATCTGAAGTTAGTTTTACACTTTCTGTAATCTCAGTTAAGATCTGGTTTTGGCACGTGAAGCTGATCATAAATGATCAGAAATCAGGGTTTTTCTATCCTGAGCCATGCTTTTACAGATCAGAAAGACAAAGTCACACCTAAAAGTTCAAACTATCACTCTAGATGTGTGGGTGTGTGTGGTGCAAATGTGGTTTACCACAACAACATGACATACAGACACACACCTCAAAACTGACCTCTGCTCACTCTTCAACCCCAGAATGTGGGTTGGAGGAAAAGTACGGCACTACATCACACACACCATATCTTTTCTGTTTCCTTAACACTCACTCATCTGCGTTGGTCTTCTTATACGTCTGCTATGTCTTCCTGAGAAATTAACTGGTGCTCACTGGGACTATTTTTGTTAATGAGATGTGTGTAAAGAACCTTTTTTAAGTTTAAAGAACTTACACAACGTAAAAGGTTCTATACCAGTCAAAAGGTGTTCCTAGAACCATGTATACAAGCTAAGAACCATTAAGTAGCACCTTACATTAAATCCAGGGTTTAAATAAAGGGTTGACCAGCGTAGGACAACTACAGATCATGGCAACAGTTTCTTTTGGCCTTCCTTCGAGTATCATTTTGAAGACTTCAAAAAAATGTTGTTGGTTTTATTGATTTTAATAAATTTCCAAAAAATCTCACCCCCAAAGCTTTGTCTTTATTTTTAGTGAAACAAAGTTTGTATTCAAGTTTTATTTATGGCTACAATTTGCTATCAATAATTGAGCGAACTTTGTTCATAGGTAATATTTATATGTACCCTAATGTTAATATGAACACTTTTTCTACGTTAAATGTTAAATGTTCTTTCCAGAACAGTACTGAAAATGATTTAATTAAGAAAAGGAATAGAAGAGATAAGGAGGAGGAATCATTAGTGAAAGCATAAAAACAGCATGCCAACAGTAGATTTTAATGGTTTCACAACTTTTTTCAATAACATTCTAGTATTGTAATTCTATTGGCTAATCACAAAACAAACCAAGATCTAAGGTCACTTGCATAAATCATCTCTAGTCAATTTTGGCCTTAAGTATTCCCTTCAATCTTAAGTGAGCTTCATAAAATCTCTTGAGGGAAATGCTTGAGAGCAATAACTGTTAATTGACTTTTAGATCCTAAGTTTAGCACTTGCAATTTTAAAAGTAGTAAAAATTAAATTTGTATTCACAGCTTTAAATTTATGCCTTAAGTATTTAACTTCAGGTAAATACTTAAGATATTTTATAGAAGTGGCCACTGGACTTTTTCACCTCAAAGTGTGGTAGATCGACAAATGTTAGTTGTTAAAATTGTCAAATTTTTCTGCCATACCCCTGAGCCCCCTAGACGCTGACAAAATACTGTAGGGAAAAACTGCTGCAGTAAACAGGCAGGAGAAACTACACAAAAGTTCAGCAGATCTTCCTGAAGCAGCAGACTCGGCCATGGTGACTGAATAATAACTCACAGGATAAAATAACCACAAGATAAAAATTATCTAGCCAGTCAATCAGACTGACTCACTTTCCTTTATATCACTTGGCATGAGAGTTCCTGGTTCTTTTACCGTTTCTCAGACCCCCCGCATTCCTGGCACCGGGAAGGATGTGCAACAGCCAGAAAATTCCAGCTAAGTATATGAAACGGAGCTTGATCGGATTAGTCTCATACTCTTCTGCTCAGGTCAATCAGTTCACAAACTCTTAAGTCAGATGCCATAGTCATAGTTGTGTCTTATACATAGACGTCATACATGCACAGTTTATCAAAGATCGGCAGTTAGGCTGACCCACTCGTAGACTAAAACTTGTCTTCAACTAAAAACGTTTTTATTGTTACTGTTATTTTTCATTACTGTTGACTCTGTGAAAGCAGTCTTGCAATGAACTACAGAATTTTATTCCGATTTAGATCATTTTACTCTTTCACTTTAACTTTGGTTGGAAACAAAAAATTACAAAACTCTGTTCAACATAGTGGCATAGAGCTGCTTCATCTACAGGCCACAAGACCATGACAGCCTGGCCAGCCACAACCAATCATTTTGCAATGACTCACCAAACATCTCTTAACCTTCAACCAATGATTATACATTGTGTTCTATACATTTTGTGGCTAGAGATATTTTATAGTGTTTTATGCATCACTGAATGCTAAGCGAATTAATGCCAAAGACAAATTTCTATCTGTTATTAACAGGATGTTTCCATGCACTTTGTATGAAATCTTTTTATGAAATCACCCCCCACAGTGGACATTTTTAAATCCAATTTAAAAACTTATTCTCCCAGGCATTTGGGGCTTTACAAGGTCCCCAACATTCTGTCATCTGTTTTAATTATTTCTTCATCTATGTTTTTGTCTTCCATTGCTTTAGTTTTTTTTTTTTATTTCTATTTATTTGATTTTCGTGTGCAAAACTTTTGACAACACTTATCTCGTCCAAGAGACCCCACGCTAGTCATGTTTTTGTGTTTTTTCTGCTCTAACACACTTGATCAACCACCTGAGCTTGTTCTTTAGTTATCTGGCTCACTCAGGTGTGCTGGATGAAGAAAAGCACAAAACTATGGTCCCCAGGACTAATTTTAGGAGTTCATGTGCTATACAAATAGAGGTTATTTCTGATCCTAAGGTGTGCTTCAGTAGAATAAGCTCCAAACACATGTTTTCCTAGAGTATCTCCTCAGAGAATTACTGCCTACCTGCAGCCTCTCTATGATATTCCTGCAGTCTTTGGACGTGGTAAGTGTGGAGTCTCGTCTGGAAGCATTTCGTGCAGACATCCTCCAGTTCAGTATGGTTTTCTGAACCACGTTGTTGGACTTCACAAACAGATTGTTGACCTGACTGTCCAGATCCACTGGGATGGCAATCGCCCGGCTTTTGGCTGCATGCAATACAAAGCATTAAGATTTTACAGTAAACAAGGTCAAAATGTTCATGCCACACTGAAGGCTTTCCTCTCAGCTTTGAAATGAATGTTTTCACTGGTCAAGGCTGTATTCTTACCCACGTCAGAGAGGACTTTGATGCAGCTCTCCACTGATGCTTTCTGGGTGGGCATTAGCCAGCTACAGTGGTACACCCGGAAAACACCCTGCAACAGCTGCACAAAGACCGGCTGACGGGTCTGCAGCGGAGGGAGAGATTAGAGACAAAAGAAAGAGAAAAGAGCAAGAAGGAAGGGAATATGGAAAAAGAAAGGAAAATGACATATAATGAGAAAAAAATGAACATAAAAGGCACAGCGGGACACAGCAAAACAGGAAAATAACTGCATTCAAAGGAATACCTAATACACAACCCTACACACGCAGGTAAAGATCAAGAGAATGAAAAAAATAAAAAATTCACACACTACTACACATAAAGAGAGAATCAGATATCTCACTTAAATGACTGCTAAACACAGACAGTATAGATTTTTTTATCTTAATTGATTTAAAGTACATTTAACTTACTTTTTTAAATACAGATATACATAATAATCATTGCCCCACTTCGAATAATCTATTAATTTATAAAATATATTGCCTATAAAGAGTTAAACATTTTAAAACTAACAAGCTTAATTCCACACGGTCACTTCAAACAGAGAAACTATTAGTAGAAATGTTTAAAAAATCTACAGACTAAAACCATCACAATGGATGACTCTTTTAAAGTCTGTCTGACAAACATGAAGAGAGGGGAGGCTAAAGAAACTAAATGAACTAAGCCTACATTTAGGACATGTGCTAAAGCCAACCTAGAAAAAGAAAACCAACACTTGGTCTAGTAGGCCTGAGGGGTTACGCCATGATACAAAAAGGGACAAAAGAGGGAAAAAAAACCCACTTTGGTCCTTTAACCTGTTTGAGTTCCTATAGCTCAGCCCCCCCAGACAGGCTTACTAGAAATGTGACTAACCAAAGTATGTCACCACACCACCCTGTGCAACCACCGTGCAATTGCTACACAGAAATACCTCTGTTAGTTTGCCCAGAATGGAGGCCTGTCACAACAGAGAGAACAGATGAAAGCATCACAATACCTCAGTTCTAAGAAAGGACTGATCTTACGTAGGGTTGACGGGGGCTGAAGAGGGTTGTCGGGTATTAGTAGTTTATGTTATTATTTAGTTTCAATGCACAGAAATAAACAGTGCAAACGCAACACTTTTGTCAAAATGTCATGTGATAGTTCAGTTAATTAAAAGAATCTAGACAGCAATTCTTAAAGGGGAATTCCTGTCTTTTTCAAAATTTCTGTATAACTAAATGGCTAAGAAGTAAAGAAAGTTTTACATGAAATGCTCCATTCTAGAGAAACAAGTCCAAAGTGTTCAAAAGCTACTTCACAGGAAGTTATTACACAAAAAAATTACAAATACACTGCCTGACCTGAAGAGACATTGTTTTGTGATATTTTTAAAATAAGCTTTTGACCTAAAACATACTTTGTAAAGGCCGATCATGTCAGAGGGGTACTGTAAGGCAAAACAGTCCCGAAAGAAGATGTTTTTTCCAGATCTAAAACTATTTTACCATCATCAGTACTACATATAAAAACTCAGAAGACTCTTTAGAAAGTAAATAAAATGGCTATATTTGTGATGTAGATATCATGACCCCTACTTCAAATCACAACCACTGTAAATAACTCAGAGTAAGCTTAAAGTTTCCCTACGAGGCAACATTTCACATTAAACTCTCTGAATGTCTTTGTTCACATCTAAGATTGAGTAGTATAGAAATTATAAAAAAATAAATGGAATTCTGTTTGAAAAGAGTAGTTTGAAGGGTTTGCTTTTTGTGTATCTACCAAAAATCGAATAAATGTCAGCATGTGGGAAATGAAACTCAGCAGCTAGCAGTCTCTCCCACACACACACACACAAAAAGGGAGAGAGATCAAGGAGGAGAGAGAAAGAGAGAGGAAAAAAGGACAGTTTTGCATTAATTTCTTAGCCATGTCAGCATTTTTGGAAAAATCACTCCTCTAAGTGAACTTTTTCAGCCCCAGCTGTGAACAAATACTCATATTTAAGGTTTTGTCCTATGTATACATTTTCTCTCTTAGATTTCAAATGGAACCAAGTAAGTCTGTAGTATACGTAATTGTATGTTTCTGGACAAAGAGTACTCAATTGAAAAAAATAAAAAAATAAAACACATGACAAAAAAGAAACTCCTATTCTCATTAACAAACAGCCAAATTGCCAAATCAGAAACAGACAGAACACTTCCTAAGGGAATTCTCAGGAGCAGGAAGCACATTCAGATCAAGTTAAATCATGATCCAATCCGAGTAAGTACACAGAAACGTACACCATATTTCTACTGAAAGAAGGGTCACAAATTGTGAAATTCACTGTTACACCAGTTAATTACACCAGTTAAGGAGGGGAAGGTTTTGCTAAGAGTAAAATAGAGCAGAGGAAGATCACTTTCTTGGACTTCCAAGGGATAGTGACAAAGTTGTCCAAGAACAGTCAAGCTGATGACTGATCCAGAGAAGCCCAATTCTGGGAGGCTTTACACCCCCTATCTAACACTTGGCACTGGACATGGTGCATGTGCAGCTTCTCCGGAGCATCCTATTCTATTCTAGACATTGTAATTCACAATGTCAGTCTATGGATATAATACAAGCTGTGTGTGTGCACAAATGAACACCTGTCCACATTGGGTGCACCTTGAAGTAGCTCAATTCACTAATTAGAAGGGCTGTCTGGACACTTTTGGACATACAGTGCAAGGCCTGTGTTACTCATACTACGTCTGTGTGGTGTGAGCAGAGGAGAACATCTTGCTTTTCATTTCAGTTAGAGTGAACAGCAAATAGAAACCTGAATAAAAAGCCCATAAATGCAAGCCCTGCAATTCATGCTCTTTGTGGAGTGAAATACTAGCTGAACATTAGCGCAGCATACCAGGCTACCAGACTTCAAACAACTGCCCAATCACAATTCAGAAAGCTGCAAAGGGTAAACAAATATATCATACCCTTTAACAAATTATATTTTATTGAGCAAAGTAACTGCCTGGACTATTTTTCCATTTGGAAAAAGGACATCTGTAGAACTGGTCTGCTGTACAGCTCCGCAGCGCGAATGCGATATGTGTGAACTGTGAACGCATGTAAGCGATAGTGGGAATGCTGCCACATCACCCACACCACACCGAGGCTGTATGTGTGACACGGGCCTAACTACCTACATAATAATTTGCCCAATAAGTATATATGTATTATACATGCAGGTTCCTGTATGTAATAATATATGTGTATGTACATATGTATATAATACATTTCTAAGCCTAACTTCAAAACTAACCCTAAGCTTAATTCAAGTGATCAAAGAAAGAAAGTAAGAAAAGAGGGAAAGAAAGAAGGAAGATTTGCCCTTTCAGTTAAAAAACAAAAAAAACAAACATGAAACTTTGCAAAACACATTGCAAAGTCAGGACCATTGTGCTGGTGCTCTATGATAGCCCTGTTGCCCTGTTTTTCTCAGGTTGCCCTGATAATGTGAAATGTGAAAACACAAACACAATGTATACCATATATAGTACTGAGAAACAGTCAGAGACCACCCTTCATTTATTCAATTTCATTTATTTAAGTTATTCTTGTACTTATTTTTTAAGAAACCTTTTGAGGAGATTAGATATAAGATAATCAACTTGCATCAGGAAGGAGAAAGTCAAAGAAAAATAATTATAAAAAACAGGAGTTTCCAAAACTAGAGTTAAAAAAATATTAAAAGATACAGAAAAAATGGGATAAACAACCACCTGTAAAACCTAGTAGTCCATCAAACCTGTCCACATCAGATAAACAGCACTTAAAGCTTTCATCTTCGAGAGAGAGGAGAAAATCAAGCTGCTTCAGATGTGAAACAATCCACAGGTGCTTCCACTGTGAGAAGACAACTCAGCGCTACGGGTCTAAAAGATGTGTAGCTGTCAAGAAGCCTCACTGAACAATTACGAAGCCTCAGAACAATAGACTGTCCACCCCAGAGTCCAGAACTCAACATCATCGAATGTGTGTGGGACTACTTAGATCTTAAGAAACAGAAAATGTAACCAACTTCTAAGACTGAAATTTGGAGGTTTGAAAATATCCTGGCAGATTGCTTTGAAAAACTAAAAGCAAGTTTCCTGAAAAGAATGGAAGTTGTAATAAAGGTAAAGAGTGACACATTAAATACTTTTACTATTACTATTATATTCAGTGGTTGAGGCTTCTGAGTATTTTTTTGTGCCACTGAAAAATTAGTGATGGTTGGTTTGAAGAGTGGTCTCTGACTCTTGCACAATACTGTATACAAGCGCATGTGCACCCCCATATACTCACACGCGCACGCACACACACACACACACACACACACACACACACACACACAATTAAAAGGACTGTGAAACCATCTGGCAGCCAGGCAAGGCCTAACCACACTCCTGATGTTGCAAAACTGAGATGTGGGAAGTTTGGATCTGCAGAGTGGCTCACACTACAGGCCTTATGTGCGTATGTGCGTGTGTATTTGTGTGCAGACACAGTCTGAGTTCTTGGAAAGCTCTGACTCAATTCAAGCAGCCAGTCTTTTTCTAAAGAAATCTGTGTGTTTGTGTGTGTGTGTGTGTGTGTTTGTGTGTTAGGAAATTCAGTGGTGAGTATGATGTCTGCGAGCTGCAAGTGTGTGTGTTAGAAGTTTGTTAAGGGGCACCAAAGGGTGAGGAAGGGTTGGGGGGGGCGGCGCGAGGGGGGGGGCATGAATTACTGGTACTTACATACATATGACGTGCCACCTGGGTGAGGGGAAGGGATCAAAATTATGAAAATATATCTGCTTCCTTTATGAAACCAATATACACAAATGAATAAGCAAGTAAGTAAACAAACAAACAAATAAAAAAACAATAAATACATAAAGTTTGAGCACACATTATATGGTGTGAATAGATTCATTAACTGTGGATTATATCAACAGTTGGGGCTTGACTGCAACTAAAAAATGCATAGCAAAACAAAAAAGACAACTCATGAACATTCGGGACAATAAATATATCACAGACTTTGCGTCTCAGTTTCTTTATTATAACACTTTAAGTTTCTCTATGCGTTTTGGTACTGATGAGCCCACAGTAACAAAGAGTTATTCTAAGCGTTAAAAAAAGAACTCATCCGTTGTTACCTGTAAACTAGTGCTCTGATCGGAAAAGGGTGAGCTGAAGAAAGTGGTGACAATGCTCATGACGGTCTCAGTGACATAGCGCTCCAGCGTGGAGTCGGCATGCTTGCGGTCGCTTGTGTTGTTGCAGACCTGCAAGCAGTAAACAACAAGACAACGCTGTAAACAGCAAGAAGTGATGAACAGGAATTAACATGGGCTTGAGTCAGAAGGCTTGCTGAGTAAAGTCAGAACACACTGCTGATTCACTCTTCCTGTGGCTGCATTGGAGGCAAAGCCCCCAATAACATAATGATACAGTGCACAGGGGAAAGTGGGGGCACACTGTCACTGAAGAAGATGGAAACAAACGTTACCTTAACACCAAAGACGACTGAAACAAAACCTGCAAGTCACAAATGGCAGCTTCTTATACTAAAACAAGGTTGATTTTGTCTGGGGTCAGTCACACTTTTGAAACCAATAAACAAATTAATCCCATAGTTGAAGCAAACTGCCATTACTAGACAGTGTATAGTAAGTGAAGGAAGTTAATGTGCTGTGTTGTGTGTGAAGGTGCTGAAGTTGTATTTTAGGCTGCCCTATTTTTGTGTTTCTCTTTATATAGTCATGTTGTCACACCTGTTACTTGTCCTGTATAAGCTGGGTCTAATCTTGGCATCAATCCAGCTATAAAACTGTGACAGTCCATTGTCTTACGGGCTGGCTGGCTGTCTGGAACCTGTGCGCACCACGAATAAACTTCATTTGACCAGACAACAGACCTGGTTCCCTGGTTCGTTGGGGTTTGGTTTCTATCAAGTGGTGCCGTGACCCGGATTGGACATCTTATCTCTAGGTGAGTGCCCATTTCAAAGCAAACCCTGAAACCAGTAGGATATCCTCCTCTTGTTGACGGAACAGAGGGGAAAGACCGCGGTAGTGTTCCCATAAGCCCATAGCAGGAAAGAAGGCTACCACACAGAGGGGTGGTAGGGTGGCACCTGATTGGTCTGATAATGTTTTCATTGTCAGAGTGGATGAACAGTTATATAAACATATAGACTCATCTAGTTTGGACAAATACTATCAAAAGAAAGTGCCTGTTCATTCGGATAAAATATAGTCCCTAGATGAGAAGCTAAATTTGTCATTCTGGCAAACAAGTAGAGAGCAAACTCACAGAACGTGTCTTAATGCATGCGACCTCCAAGACAAAATAGGCCTGTGGAAGTATAAACGCAAGGAAAAGTTTGATGTTTAAATTAAGTTTGATATAGTGACTGGGACTAACTTCCTGGAAAGCTGTGTTTAAAGGCCAAAGTAGCGCTGACCTCTGCCCTGTACTGGGGTCTATGCAAGTTTTATGGTTGTCCTGTGTTGTCATGGTGGCATTAGGTGTCATCAATCAGCTCATTGGGCAAGGTATTAGTTTTATTTTTTATGCCTGAAGTGGTCCAAATCTCTTGCAGATTGTGGCTTACTAAAGGTTGAACATGTCAACCTGACTGGGTTTTCCTTGTCAGCATACCAAGCAGTATTAAGTTAATAATGCAACACCGTCAGGTATTATTTTGATAGCTTCCTCAAATGCAGAGGAACATGAACATGACTTGCTAGCTTTGTTAGATTACCTACATTCGGTAGGACACAAAGCCTCTTTTTTTAGAAAGAAAAAGGCCAAGATTAATCAATCCTCTGTTCAGTATTTAGGACAGCTGGTTTTGCATGCTCAGAAGTCAATTTTACCTGACTGTTGGGCCACAGTGTGTGCTATTTTATTACTTGATATGTTAGCAAAGCTACAATTTTTTCTGGGGTTGTGCAATTATTGACAACCTTGAATTGAGGTTTATGCGAAAATCTGTTTAACCACTATACGATCTAACTAAACCAGAAAATCAGAAAACTGAGTTTCAGCTAACTTATGATCAGTTAAGAGTTTTCATTCTCTTAAACCTGCATTATGCAGTACCCTTGGACTAGCGAACATGGAACTACTGTTCACACTGTATGTTTCAGCATCACTAGGGTTTGTGTTTAGCTGTTTAACTCAAACTCATGGTGACAAAGAGAGGTCTGTGTTTTATTACTCTGCTAAAATAGACAGGGTTATGCTAGGAATGTCACCTTGCCTGAGAGCAATCCAGGCAACTTATCTGTCTGTTTTACCTGTTGCTCCAATTGTTTTGGATCAGATTCTCACTGAAATGTCCACACTGAGTTTCCTCTTTGCTCTTAAAAGGACAAGATTGTTTTCAGTGACAGCACAAAGGTGGGGTAACTGACTTGCAGTTTTAACTACACCTGTAAATGCTATTTCAGATCATTTGGTGGAACTGGAGTATGACTCAGATGATCATGACTGTGAAACTCTGGTGTCTAGTGCGGTGCAGAGCATGTATGCTGAAACACCTTTGCCAAATGCTGATGTTGTGTTGTTCACAGACGGCTCTTCCTGCATCCTTGATCTTCTGGATCTTCTGCCACATCTTCTGAACACCAAGGCAACTGTTTAGCTGATAATGCAGCAAAAAGGGCTTGTCTTTTGCCTATCGAATATATCCTGTCCCTGTGAACAACTGTTGTTAAAAATTTGCCTGATCTGCTTGTTTTATACCAGCAGGCCCCGGGTTTGGAAGTTTGGACTTGGGTTGAGCGAGGTGCGTCTCTTCGCGATGGTGTCTGGGTTAAGGGGGGTAAATATGTGGCTCCTGATGCACTGCTTCCCTATTTGGTGGCTACCATACATAGTCTAGGTCACCCTGGAGTAACCCAGATGGCATATCACTTCAACCAAGTATGGTGGAATCCTAAATTCCGCAAGTATGCAGAGAGTCATTGTCTAGTTTGCACCACCTGTCTTAAGGCAAATCCAGGACTTGCAGTCTCCCTCCCCTACCAAACTGTAACACCACAGAGTGGCCCGTTTCAAGTATTGCAGGTAGAGTACATCACTTTGCCAAGATGCCAGGGAAAACAGGACTGTTTGATAATAATTTGCAAGTTCTCAAGGTGGATTGAGGGATATGTCACTACTGAAGGCACTGCCCTGCATACCGCCAAATGTCTGGTGAAAGATTTTATCCCAAGGTGGGGTCTCCCAAGGGTCATTGAGAGCAATCAAGGAACTCACTTTACTGGGAAGGTTTGTCAAGAAGTAGCAAGATTGTTGGAGATAAAGTGGCATCTCCACTGTCCCTATCGACCTCAAGCATCAGGTCAGGTCGAAAGGATGAACAGAACTTTAAAGTTCAGACAGACCAAGTTACATCATGAAGGGGTTTTATGGGTGGAAGCTTTACCGGCTGTACTTTGCAGCATAAGAGCTTCAACTAACAGAAGTACCCAGCTGTCACCATATGAGATTATTACTGGTCGTCCTATGTCACTTCCAGGAACTATTGATTTAAGAGCGGCAGACATACATGTTATGTCTGATAGTCCGCTGCAATACTGCCAGACATTATCTGAGGCTGTTGCCGCTGCTCAGAAACAAGTGTCGGATGCATGAAAAGAACCTACTAAAGGGGGTCATCCTATCGTCTCAGATAAGTGGGTAATGGTTAAGGTGCATAACACTCAGACATTAGGGCTAAAGTGGGAAGGTCCATATCAGGTCCTCCTTACTACACCCTCTGCTCTAAAATGTCAAGGGAAGTCAAAATGGATACATGTGAGCCATACCAAGGTGGTACCACCACCTGATGGTGATGGCTAGTTTAGGGATAAAATGGGTGACTCTGGTTGGGAGATGCTCTGAGGAGGAACTATGATGTTTAGGTCATGGGGGTCAACCTCAAGAGTGAAGATCTACCTAATTCCCCTTTGCGAATAGCGCTCCCCTACTCCCAGCAGAGGCCAGGACCCAGGTTAGGTAGAAAAAGAAGGTATCCATTACAAGGGCTACACCAAACCTTTATACAAGGGCATACGACATGGGTTGTGTACTAAGAATATGATACTGCTGCTATGTCTATGTGTTTTGTTTTAGGATATGCCCAGAGCAGACCTGACACTTTGACGAAGGAACAGGACATCAGACGGGTTCCTGAAGGGTGGTGGACAAACTGACATCAAAGCCTATCTAGGTCCCCTAATGCTGCCCTGTGAGCTGTTTGGACACATCAACACTTTCTTCCTATATTCTGGAAGAGAAGACGGCTACCACGACGACAAGCTGCAAATTAAAAGACTTTTATAACAAAAAGGGAATAAAGAAGAATGAAATCTGTAGTTTTCATAAACATCCTGACAATAGCTTTTGCAGGCATGATGGATGATGTTTGTGACCACAACAAGGTCTGTGCTCAGGCCATCCTGTGGGCACAAAATCATACCTTAGGAGGTGATGGTTGTTTTGTCTGTCATGCCTTGCATCACTGCTATTATGTGATCCCAATGTCTAACATTTCTGCGCAAGCTTTATGTACACACCATTCTGCATCTGAACCCATGAGAATAATAGCACAAATGATGGTAGATGGTATAAGTGAAGATAACTGGCCATTGCCTATTGTTAGATGTCTCAGGTCAAATAGAGCTGCCTGTTACAATCCTAATGCTGACAGCTTCCGGATTGTTGGCTGGCAGTATACTGTTAGAGTTGATAGTACTGATTACAACTTTATGGGTTATCAAAAATTAACTATAGCGCGTGATTATCAGGATAAATCTAGCTGGAATTATGGATTAGCAGATCCCATTCCTGTGAGGGCTTCCTCAGGTTGGGTATGTATTGACAAACCTTGTTATCCAGAGGACACTTATCTTGGTAACAGTACATGATCCGTTTCATTTCTGCCTTCTCTACGAATGGCACATTTTGGAGTAAACATTCTACCACCATAAATACCAACCCATGCGGTATTTGGATGAGGGAACCACTCCCTTTGGGTTTCTACTGGGTTTGTGGAAACAAGGCTTATCCATCACTCCCATCTGATTCATGGTGCGGTTCCTGTTTCATGGCTGTAGTCATGCCTCCTATTACAGTCCATACCGATCCATGGATCACATTACAATCTCATGGACCTTTACTTCGTATGAAAAGAGAACTTGGCGTTACCCTAACAGGTATACAAACATGGAATGGTCACATTATGAAGGATCCCCGGTCTAGTACAGTGCAGACAGTAGGGTGGGGAATATTTCCATTTGGAGGTGTTGTAAATGCCTTACAGAAGATAAATTATTTGGCTTATTCCACACAGAAACTAGCTAATGAGACTAGTGAAGCTCTCTGCTTAGTAAATGATGAACTCCATGCGTTACGAGAAGTAGTGCTGGAGAATAGGAAGGTTTTAGACTTGCTGACCTTAGAAAAAGGAGGGGTATGTCACATTCTCAATACCTTCTGCTGTATCTACGTCCCAGATAACTATGAAAATATTGATACATATGTAACAGATCTTCACAGACTCATTCCAAATCCAGAAGGATCTCTTGATAAGATCTTTACCTGGATTGGCAACATGTTTGGAGGTATGTTTTTTGGAATCTTACAGCAACGGCTCCGTTATGTACTTCCTTTTGTAGCACCAGTAATAGCTGCTATTGTTATTTACTTTTGCCTCAAATTACTCTGGTCCTTAATGACTAAACTCCACTGGCGTAGGCGTTCCTTATAACCATGGAACCACTTCATTTCCCCAATTTGCCTGTAGGCGGGCTGAAGGGAAAGAGACCCATCTTTAGGTCGTGAAGAAGGAGGGTAATACTGGCCATATTTCTCTGGAAGAGGAAAGGATAGATTGATTAAGCTTGCGAGAACATACCTTTTATAGTATGTTCTAAGGGGGGAATGAAGGAAGTTAATGTGCTGTGTTGTGTGTGAAGGTGCTGAAGTTGTATTTTAGGCTGCCTATTTTTGTGTTTCTCTTTATATGGTCATGTTGTCACACCTGTTACTTGTCCTGTATAAGCTGGGTCTAATCTTGGCATCAGTCCAGCTATAAAACTGTGACAGTCCATTGTCTTACGGGCTGGCTGGCTGTCTGGAACCTGTGCACACAACGAATAAACTTCATTTGTCCAGACAACAGACCTGGTTCCCTGGTTCGTTGGGGTTTGGATTCTATCATAAGCCAGTATGGAAAAAAGCAGTTACTTCTGCTTTTTAAAAGTCTCTTTTCATTCATTAACGTAATGTCTCAATGCTGTTGTTGCATTTATTTTCATATGTACAGGACATAATCTAGCAAAGCTGAAAATCTGATTAGATTTTTGGATTTGTGTCACAAACTACCATTTTGAACAACACAGTAATAGGAATATGCTTCATATCTCAGTTGTTTTTTTAATTGTTAATTGATAAAACAAATCTGTAAAAAGCATTTCCACAGTGATCTGACTTCAGCGAATGTGTGCACATGGTCTAAAACTACCGTAGTGCATCCAACTACACAGCTAGTCTTGTGTTCCTTTATATGTGACATAAAACACAGAGGAAGCTCCAATTCCACATACTGATCCATTTTACTTTGCCACTGTGGACATGCACACATTGTAACCACTCTGAGACAGATTTTAACTAGTTAAAGGGGACAAATGAAGCCTGTGAATGTATCACCACAGAGACGTTAGGTCTGACAGCGTTAACACATATAAATGGAAAAACTAAGTGTATTACACTAAAAGTCCCGCTCTCCCTTGCTTGCTATCATTCTGCTATCTACTGCCTGCAAATTCCTTAAGCCACCACGCTCAGATCACTTCTTAAACTTCAACTCAAGGTTAAATATAAAGGCAGCTAGACAATCTAATGACTGCACATCCTTAATAACAACATCTATTACATCAACCACGCTTCCTGTTTTTAAATTTATCTCTTGAACTTTTACTAACCTCTCCAAAACACTCCTGGTAGATCAAAGATAATGAAACTTTCTTATCATTTCAAGCTTTTCGTTGGAGGTGACATGCTTCATTTGTATTCAATGAGTATTTGTGTATGACAGATCACAGAATCACAGAAACAGAGTGTGTGTGATTCAGGGTCTGCTGGTGCCTCAAAAATGTGAAAAAAATAGAAGGTAAATTATAGTATACAACAGGTACATTATAAGAAAAATTAGAGTAAATATGCTGTATGCTGGCTTTCTGATGGAAGAGCTAAAGTGGACAGAACTTTTCAGCTCACATCAATAAATCACAGATTTAATTTAGGGGTCAGAAAAGCAGATTTCGTAAGAAAAGGCATGAGTGTCTTTCAAAATTGTTCAAAGTCAAGTGATTTATTTCACTACACTGAAAGAATGTATGTTTCCTTCTGCCTTCTAGTACAGCTAGGAAGCTATCTAGCCAGCCTACTTAACCTTGGCTTGCTAGTCTAAAGAAAACCAACCACTTAACCACCAAAAAACTCCAAACTCTAGTGCTACTTATATGATCAAACAAAGCCCTTCATAAGTTACAGAACTGTTGCTGGATGTGTTATTGGAAATAGTAATTTACTTATAATTAAGAATCCCCAAAATATCTTATTTGTTTGCATTTTAACATTTTATATATCATTTACAGTTTTTTTTTTTGAGAGGATATTTCCTTAACCACGAGCCACCTCTAATATGATTCATGCATATGCAATCAATATCAGAACACTGGTTTGAGATGTGATTACCCTGCATATGTCAACCAGGAAGTTTTCAAAGAGTTTCCACATGTGATTGCTCGTATAGATCTCCTTCATCTCCACTTCCGTGTCCACATAACAGTGGTTCAAAAAGTCAATGTAGGCAGTTTTCACCTGTGGAATTCAATCACAGAAAAAAGCAATTCTGATGTCACTGTTTATTATTTAAGGGAGTTATTCTCAAACATCAGTGGTATTAAACACATAATGGTTTCATTTATGTCACAGTTGTTGACTGAGAAAAAAATTCTGATAAATAAACATTTTTAGAATATTTGAGTAAACGCAATAATGTGCACAAAAATTCTTACTAAATGGAAATTACTTCTTGAGATCAGTAGTTAATATTTGCAGACTGCTGTAGGGTTAAATGTTGCAGACTGCTGTAGGGTTTGGTGCCAGCTCTGCAAAAACAAACCTGCCACATCAACAAATCAAAATTTGGAAGTTGTGAAACTCAAGATAACAAGGGGACACTTGTTCAGTGCTCATGATTGGATTTTACCTCTGGAATTGGATTATATCTTCAAATAGCAGAATGCAATGCCCTAATTTCAGGATTTAATCCAATATAAAACTGAAAATTTGATCAGATCAGACTGAGGTCTTCATAACGGAAGTGGGTCTCCACTATAATTCACTAGTTATGTGAATCCATTTTCTAATAAGCAGCATTTCCATAGACTGGGCAAGGCATCAATCACCAGTGCTTGGAAGGTGTGGCCTTTTCATAGGGATGATTTCTCTTAAGAAACTCTTACAAAGTCACCACTTGATTGTACTATATTGTAGCTGTACTGTACTGTATTCTGCACTTACTTGCGCTACAGAATCTGATATGAACTTTATATGCTTTAAGTTGAAGTACAGAGCTTCTCCATCATGGCCTTCAGAACCTCAGTCACTAGTTAGTATGAACTGAAGCTTAGGTGTGTTGAGCACAGGAACAGAATTTTAAATTATATGAATTTTTGTCATCCATTCAAGGCATTTAAGCAAAAGCAAGGCATCAAAGCATAGCCGGAAACTCCTTATGTGCCTGTGCACAGTGTGAGATCATGAGATCATGCAACATAATCAGCAACACCATTACTATGAACAACCTAACATGTAGCCAACTTCGCTTTTCAAGCTTCCTTTTAAATAATGTTGTACTAAAGCTGAACTTGACAGGGATGCAATTTATATTCACATCCCCCTAATCAATCCAGCCCAACCCAATCTGCTGACCTCAGGAATGCAATCCTCGTGGGTGACCACACGAACTATGTCATCTAGGGGCAGCAGCGAGTTGCACTTGATCTCTGTATAGACGTTCTTGCCCTCTGTGCACACAGCCAGCAACTCCACCAGGTGGATGTGGTACATGAGCGGGCTGTTCTCATCCATCCGGTCCCGCTCTGAACGCATCATTTGCACCAGAGTTTGGAATGAGGCTCGGTCGTTGTAGAACACCAGCACGTCCTCTCCAGCATTTACCAGCTACAGGAGGTGGTTTAGGAAGGGAGAGAGAAAGAAAAAGAGACAGGCAGCACAAAGAGGAGAAAATATAAAGCAAAGTGAGGAAAAAAGAGACAAAATTAAAAAGAAAAACAAATCATTAAGAAGAATGGTTAAAAAACAGAGGAGGAGAGGGGGAGAGAGGAGAGAGAAAGATGGAAAAAGACAAAAAACCTGGCAAAGCATTTATGAGTTTTAAAATGTGAAGAGAGAAGATATTATAGAATAAAATCACAACAAAAATAATTGATTTCTCATGTAACTTCCACAGATCTACTGGTTTACAAAGACCCACTAGGCCCACCTCAGCCATCACAATGTCCTGACACTTCTTGATGAACTTGTTCTCGGCCTTGACGATAGTCTGCAGAAACTTAAGGTACTGTACGTGCCGGCCATGTGTCTCGATGCAGTGAACAAAGTGTTGTACCACACGCTCGTTAATCTCACTGCATAACTGGAAGTTGTTCATGAAGATATGCTGCATGGTAACGGCCTCCAGGATCTACAAAGGAAAAATAAGGTTATTGCTTAGCCGCAATGCTTTAAAAAAAAAAGAAAAAAACCTTAATGCTTAATCTACAGGGGGACAGAGAGAGTAAGGCCACAGCCCCATACTTAACCCCATACTGCAGGATCTCCAAAGAGACAGGAGTACAGTGTCGAAATGCATATTTCATATTGGCTAAATCAGCCCTTATTTACAACTGCTGCTAAGGACTTGTATTAAAACAAACCCTAGTGTGACTGCTCTCTTAGTTTAGTTCATTAGAACAAGTGAGAACATTGCTATTCGAACCCTGGTGTGCACCAGATAAGCAGGCTGAGACCCCCTGATAAGGTCAGTCTTAACTCCCCTCCAAAAGATCAAAGATGTCAATCTGGACCAAATACAGAATAACTCATCTCCTCTTTGCAGATGTTCTTTGGTTTTCTGCAACAGGCGAATCTGACAATGTTTTGACACATGGAATCATTTGAGCAGCTCTCCATGAAAACCCACAAGCCGAGTTAAGCCAGAAAACAGTGTGGCTCAGAAAGCGGTTATTAAACCAGTTATTGTCGCAATGTACATACATGTACATCATCAAATCTACCCAATCAGTTGTGACGCTGTTGCTATAACATTTGTTTATATCTTTTGATTTAATATCATATGTCATTGTGAGCGCTAATAAAAATCAGAACTGCAACAGTGTATCATTTTCTGCTTTTGTCTGGACCAAGTAAGTGTAAACGAACCCTAAAAGTCATGGGATAAAAGGGAGATGCAACACCCATGTCCCTCCATTCTGGCACTACATCTTTATGTTTTGGATGTTTGTAGGTCAATTCCAAATAAAAGATACATAAAGAAAAAGATAAAGACCATATGCTGTGACCCCATGTTCTAGACACTGCAGATGTCTCTTTTTCTCTTGAAAGCCAACCGTTGTACTTTTGTCCACTCACAATGGATGTCATGTTATGTGCACTCACCCCTGGGTTTAAGAAGAGATTAATGTGCTTGTGAAGTAGTGCCTGGTTCTGCTGGTTGCCAGCACAGAAGTTCTGGAGAAACTCATGCGCCAGCTTCATAATCTCCTGCATTCTGACATCCTCGCCCTGCCCAGCCACACACAATCATTAGTATCAAAACTTATTCATACTAACATCTATACTAAGCTTTGTTTTTTTCTATTCTATCAAAATGGGATACCAGATGCTTCTGATAGGCACACCAACTCCTTTCACAGCAAAATTCTAACAAGGAGATCTAACCAGATCCTTATCATAGGGGATCACGTGATCAGAGAGCTTTATAGATATTCCTAATAAGAGATCAAACTGGATCATCCTCACTGAGGTCTAACCTTCTCATAGGGGATCTGTAGCAGCTCCAGCACCACTGAGTGAGCACCCATATTTCTCAGTAGCCTCTGCTGTTGTTTTTTACTCTTTTTCCCTGATGAGCCTTCCTGTACACATAACCTACTGAGCCTCAACAGGATCTACAGAGATAGAGAAACAGAGACATGTTTTAACATTTGAAAGTATCAGCATCCATATTCTGTAATTAGTAACAATATGTCAACAGAGAGAGAGGGCAAGATAGATTGAGACAAGAGTAAAACAAAAACAGAAAGTAACATATGAGACAAAGGAGAGAGAGAGAGACAGAGAGAGAAAGTCAGAGAAAAAGAGCAAGAAAAAAACTAAAATGTACAGGCTCTGGGGAGGAAGGTGAGAGGAAAACATTGTACAGGTTTAAAGACTTAATAGCAAACACTAGCATATGTCCTTTTAGACCAGGGTCAGTGTATATTAAGGGACATGGATTTAGGATGCTGGTCTTGCTGTTAGTTATAAACCAAGGGGGGCAAATAATCACTTTAACGGAGCAATTTGTAATATACTGTACTAAATCATAAAGTGACCATGATATGTCATCAGAGAATAAGGAAACATTCTAAGTTAAAATATTGATGTTCTCCAACAACATTGCTGCAGCTTGTACGTTCTCCTTCGAAATCTCTGTTCAGGAGCCGAAAATCTATGTTTTGGTTGTAATCCCACCCACTGTCCATTTCCTAGTATCATTTCGACACCCCAGGGTGCCAGATATGAAAGAAACTGGCAGCCAAACATAGCATGCTGCAGCCACAATAAAAAGCAAATGAACGAACGAATGAACGAACTGTATCCAGACCTAAAAAGCCTCTGCATTCTTCTAAAAAGCTCCATGACCAGAGACGCAGTGAACCGTGACTAAATGTTGACGATGCATCTGAAGGTGGAGGCAGCTTAGAGTCCAGAAGGAGTTTTAGATGCCAAGCTTGCTAATTTTCTCCTGAACAGATAAACATTAAGCTTCAGCTAAGATGAGCTAACCTTAGCATTTCAAGTAATATCAGCATTTGAGTACTCGCTGTGGTTCATGGGCTGCTAGGTTATTAAGGCAGACAAGGCTGAAGTTAGCTTCCTATTCACCAGCTTCTTGTTCAAATGTTCCCGTTCAACCTTAAAAGTTGCAGCAGCAGCCTGCCTGCAGCCTGAGATGCCAGAATGTAACTGCTGCAACATTTAAGGTGGACCAGGAAAGCTAGAACAAGAAGCTGCCAAACAGGCTGAGGCAGCAGAGTGTAACAATTGCACCATTTAAGGTGGAACGGGCCAATTTGAAAAAGCTGACCTCATTCATCAAGGCAGTAAGTATTTTTTGGAGTTCATTCGTGTAGGTTGTGCCCTCAACCTGGCAACTCACTGAGTTTCGAGTCTACATCTCTCCAATATATTGAATTTTGACTACTGCTTGCTGTCAGTATTACATATTACTCCTTTAATTAGTGTTTGTAACTACTTAATAGCCTTGCCTTGCATGTGCACAGAGGTATGCATATGAGTAAGTGAGTGTGTGTGTGTGTGTGTCTGTGTGTGTGCCTGACTACTGAAATAAGGCACACTTTACCTCCTTGACAACCCTATAATTATAGCTGCTCGTGCTCTCTGGTTTCTTCTTGTCTGTGCCACTCGCATCACCCTGCATAAAGAGCAAGAATTAAACAGTTCATCTTCAAAATTCAATAATTAATAAACAGTTTTAAAAAACATGTTTAAAGTGTAAAATCAGCTCAGCTGGGCTCAAGGATCTCTTTCAAAAAGAGGCTGACAACTTGGCTAGAAACCTGAATCCACACTTGTCAAGCACTTTAAAGAAAGAGTGCTGATATAGGATCAGACTGAGTGGCTCGACAGTGATGAATTTAAGTATAATCAAGTTCTAAAACACATACTGACTGAGGCTTCAAGGATGAAATGATGAGATGAGATTTAGTGCATGTCTGTGTGAGTGGAACATTATGGACCTTCTTTTTGTGGTCAGAGTCTGCTGGACCATCGCCTCCATCAAGAGCATCATCACCCTGCCGCTTGTAGACCCACAATTCAGACTTCTCCACAATGGAGCGCAACTGGTCCAGGTCAGACTTAATCTGCTTGTAGTTATCCACATCCTGACTTGTCACCAGGAGTTGGACCTAGTGGGGAGGGACAGAGAGGGAGAGAAAGAGAAAGAGAGAGGGGTAGGAATAGCTACAGTCTTATTGCCATCTGTATAAAGTGCTTGTTGCTTACAAGCCACTATGCAAGGTTGTTAAATGACCACAGAAGGGACGGGTAAAGTTTTGCGTGCACGTAACTTTATTCAGAACTTTACTGAGCCGAGGGCAAAAGTGTTCATCACTAAATGTTAAGTGAGTTTGTGTGTACCTGTTTGAATGCCATGAGCACCTCTTGTCTCTGGCTAAAATGTCTAAAGAGTAGATGCAGAGCCCCAGACACCAACGGAGGGTAGTCATGCATTGTAAGGTGCAAAAGAACCCTTAGAAACGTTCTGCCGCCGTGGTCGTCCAGATCCAGTGGTGTGTTCTCCTCACTGAGTGAATAAAATAAAATAAAGCCAAAAAACCAAGGACACTGTGCAGAAATACATATGCACTGGACACCTACTTGGTTAGTTTTACAAATACTCATTGGACAAGTGTCCCAAGGTAGTCCCTGAGTCAAAATGGGCCATTTACATGAACAAGAATACTCTATAACAAGAGTCTCCCAGAATTTGGAGCATTTGAATGAATTCCTACCTTGCACCAAAGATCCCCTCAGCCTGCTCTTCGATGTTCTCAAAATCAAGCGCTGTGTGAGAAAACAAACCAGTAAATAAACAACAATACAAACAAAAAAAAGAAACAAGATTGACTTTTTCCATCCCATTTTCTCGCCGACACAGTGATCACAAGACTGTGACAAAACACAGACAAAATCCTGGGCAAGAAAATAACAAACAAAATACTAAATTCAACTTTTTAGCACCCACCTGGTATGCTATTAAGTCCATCTCCATTAGCAGTAGTTGTAGCATTAGCACTGACATTAGCGTTAGCATTGGGCAGACTGTCAGTCTGAGTGTTGCTTTCATCAAACTCCCTTTTAAAGATGCAGAGCAGGCAGGAGATCCTGTAGTCCAGACGAACGTTCAGGATAAACTACAGAAGGAGAAAACAATAACAATCAGGATGCTTTATTCTAAATTTAAAGCCAGTTATTTAGTAATAAATGTAATATTTCTTGACATTTACAGTACAGTAAAATCATGAAGATACATATTGATTAGACCAAAAAGGAGTAATACATTTTATAAAAATATTATTTTTTCACTTTTTTCCTGTAAAAAAAAAACATTCTCTCAGACAGAGCACTCTCCTTGTTTGACTTTCTAACAACAACTTTTTTTAACACCTTTCATGCAGTCCAAAGTGCTTTACAGGACACACAGAACTACAAACATACAAAGAAACAAGAAACAATATTGACTTTTTCCATCCCATTTTCTCGCCGACACAGTGATCACAAGACTGTGACAAAACACAGACAAAATCCTGGGCAAGACACCTGTAAGATCTCTATGATCTTCAGCTTGGTGTCCATAACCAAGATGTCCTCCTTCTCTGGCTCTGTCTGAGTCTTTCCCACCTCTCCATCAGGGGGCGCTGTAGGGGTGGTGGGCAGGAAGCCACCACCTCTCAGCACCACCTGGGTCATAAGCTCCCCAACACCATGGATGGATCTCATAACATTACTACCTGCGAGGAAGCATACAGAAGAAATATGATGCTTAGAAGAAGCTCAGGCAATAACACACATTTGGTGTAAACCTTTAGCTTTTAAAGTTCACCAAAGTAGTTGTGGGTCTGTTCATGACTCTTTTTTATTGTAATCAAAACAAAATAATACCATACATAAAATAATACAAAAAGAAACAAATAGAATAAAAGCATATGTAAAATGTTTTGTAGTGTAATGATAAAATGAAATACTCTTTCAGCTATTAAGTAACAGCATCAGTGCTTTCAAAACAGGCTAGACTAGGTATTCAAGCCACTAGGTATTCAAAGTATTCATACTGGTTTTTAGTCATAATCCTGCCGCTTTGCATTCACAGTATTCATACTGGTTTTCAGGTATGATTCAGCCATTAGGAATTAAAAGTATTCAGACTGGAGATTTGCACTATTTATAGCACAACCAGCTGTGCTCTATTCATGCCAAAAAGGTCAAAGGGTCACCTTTGTTCTCATCGCCTTTCTCCATTTTGTTGATGGGATATATCGTGCTGACATGCACACAGTCCAGAATAGCCAGCAGGATCTTAGTCAGCCTCAGCAGGTCACTAAAGCTATAGAAGCCAAAATAAATGAGGTTCCGTGCCAAGTTCACTACCTGAAAAGAGACATAGAACAGAATTAAGCATATACAGTTAAATATATATTAAAAATAACATCTATTATCATTATTATTGGGTATTCTGTCATGGACAACTTGCCTCAAATGTTAGTTTGTTTTTCTCCTTGTCAGAGAAGGGGACGTTCTGACAGACTACATCTCTCAAGTAGTTTTCCACGAAGTCCATGGTGAGAGCGAATCGCTCCTTAATTTCATCTCTGGTGGTGCCATCATTATCATAGCTGAAAACCAACAGCAAAAACAACATCAAAATCAATCACAGAACTGCAAACTGAATAATTATTACTGACAGACAATTCAAAGCAAAACAGAATGGACTCAGTCCTCACTTCTCTGCGAAGATGATACAGATGTTTACCAGTGCAAATCTTGAAATCTTCGAAAAATTGTTTCACATTTGTCCTAAACGACTAGCACAGATAAAGCTTCTACAGTGTAACCATAATTCACTTTTCTTTAAAGGACTAAAAGAACACAAACTGTTCTTTGTTGTCATTTTGTCATTTGCTGCCTAATTGTACTGTAAAAAGTAGGAGATAAGGGAGAATTTATTTTGAGAAAGCACGAATATATCTGAAATCTCAAACAAAGTGTAAAACCCAAGAACTCAACCCACTCATCAATGGCAATCTTGGAAGGGATCTCGGACCACAGACGAGCATATTTGACGGGTGTGACCTGTTCCTGGGGGTCGCGGTCCACATGCATGTGCAGCATAAGGCGGCAGAAGGAAGCACGGAGGTCATAGGGCAGGTCCTCATCTGACATGCAACGCAGAATGAGATCAACGTCCAGCTGGCCTGAGATTTTGTTAATGGCCAGATACTGGCGGTCGAGGCACATGCGTGCAAACAGGTTCAGTTGGTACCTGAGCATAGAGGACAGAGTTTATGGTAGAGCCAGGCAGTATTAGGTCTATTAGGTTGTAGGGTTATCAGGATTTTCTTGCCATTTTTATTTGCCAGGATACAACAGGGAATTATTCCTTATTTTTTTCATTCTTGCATGCATTTCTTCCTTCTTTCATTATCCCCATTGGTAACCCATATCTATCATAACTTTTGGAGCCAACACGTTTCCTCAGAGATTAAACAGCTAATTATTTAATTCATTCATTTAGGTATAGAGCCACTATGCTAACAGGCATTACCTGTAGTAACTGACAACTTCCTGGTCTTCTTTCTGGCCCTCCTTAGCATCCTGGGCTAGCTCCCTGATGCTTTTGCTGCGGACCTCCTTTCCACTGTCCTTCCAAAATAACCACACCTCCTCTTCATCCTCCTCTGACTCCACTGGAGGCTCTCCAACATTTACTGCCTCAATCTCGAAGCGAGATAAGACGAGCCTGAGAGAGATACAGAGAGAGAGAGAGAGTGAGAGCAAACTTGATGCATAGAAAAATGTGATGTTCAGTAATGTTTTCTACGTAGTGAAAACATGGTGAAACAACCCTTGAACGAATGAAATATTGATCAACATTACAAAATTTTGTATACACTAAATAGTACACTATTTCTCTTGAACGCAGCAAAAGTTTATTTAGCAGCTGTTAAGTCCCTTCATGAGACACCACAGAAGCAGTATCTTATCCTCTTTGTTTAATCAAAAACCCTTACCCTACTTCACATTTAGGAAATGCTCTTTATGTGGTTTGTGGTTTTGTTTGTTTTTGGCTAGAGGACAATCTGACAACACTCTCAATGTATTAAAGTTGCTACAGATAAATTAAATCATAACTGTGGCTTAAGCTGTAGATGTTCAGATGTTGTGCATCTGTGTTTAGGGTAGAGATGCACTGATATGGGAACTGTGGGTCTGATATCTTCTATTTGCATATTGGCTGATACCAACATTGATATAAAGACATCTATAAAAGGTAGAAATTAAGACTACATCCTCCTGTTTTAGCATTAACATCACCAGCGTCACCTAAACATTCTGCTCCGATGCTGATATGATATGATTCATCTTGCATCACTATTTTAGATATATGTGACATATGTGATATACATGAGCACCGGAACACCAAGCATAGTCACAGGCAAGTATAATGTCTCACTTGGTCTCTATGAGGATGTCAGCGTTAGTTGGGTCCAGCACCGCATTACAAATCAGCTCCTGAGTAACAGGGATGGACTTATTCATGGACACACACAGGTCAGAGAGGTAATCCAAAAACCTGCATAAGCACACACATAGACACACAAACGCAAAGGGAGACATTCATGTCACCAAATATAGTTCATGGACAGGAAGTGCAATGACTTTCCACAGTCAAAAATGAACAATACCTCATCTGATTAATTAGTTCATAGATTTTATTTTTTTCTCATTTTGTAAAGCCAAAAAACAAAAACGCTTTTGTATTTGTTTACATATTTGGAATAACCATGTATTCAATTCTATATATATTTTTTATTTGTTTTGTTTATTGCTTTTCTGTTTTTCCTCCTTTTCCATCCTCTCTTTCTTCTCTTAAAGCTCATCCTCACTGTCACTTAAGACAGGTCATAAAACAAGCACCACACCTTTGCCCTCACCTGGGTTCACGGTTCTTCCTCACAAGGCTGACAAAAGTGTCGATCTCAGCAGCAGTGATGTGCTTTTCAAGCAGCTTACGGTTGTTGTGCAGGAGGGCTGTTATGGTGTCCTCAGCAAGGACGTCGTAGCCAATCTGCTTCTGCATGAAGCGGAACTGCTTGGCGATGTACTCCTGCACAGGGAGCCAAGCACCCAGGGTCAAAGAGTTAGGCAGTGCACTTACAGCAGCAAAGAATCACATATTCAAAGGGCCCAAATTTAAATGCTTTCTATTTTTCCCTTTCTCGATTACTGGTGTTTAACTGAGCAAAATGGTTATTTTGATACTCCATCAGTATGACAAGTAAAGGCAAGTGCTCAGGTTTGGAATACTGGAGTGGATAATCACTGAGGCAGAACATAACTGCTATACCTGTGTGATCTAGTGTGAACACATGGATTTCTACTTTCTTGACAGTATCTTCTCATGAAATACAAACCCCATTTCTGGAAAAGTTTTGTAAAATGCAACAAAAACAAGAATTTGTGATTTGTTAATTCTCTTGAACCTTTATTTAACAAAAATACAATGAAATGACTTTTAATGTTCTTAGCTGACCAACTTGATTCTATTTTGTAAATTTAAATAAATTTTGAATTTGATGTCTGCAGCACACTCAAAAAAAAGTTGGGACGGGCTAAATAACAGTGAAACTTTTAAAGAATATTCAAGGTACACATTTGGAAAAATTCCACAATAAGCAGGTGAATTGGTGAGAGTATCATGAATGGGTGTAATCCACCAAAGGCTCTGTCTTTGCAAGCTAATATCGTGGCTCACCACCTTCTTACTTCGCAAGAGAATTGGCAAACTGTTCAACAGATTCCACTGACGCAGAGGCATATATTGGGATTTTACAGAGACATATGTTGCCATCAAGACGACGTCTTTTCCAGAGAAGCCCACGGTTATTTCAGCAAGACAATGTCAGGCCTCATTTTGCACATGCTACAACATTGTGGCTCCGTAGACACAGAGTGTGCTTTACTGGCCTGCCTGCAGTTCACATCTGTATCCTATTGAAAATGTATGGTGCATCACAAAGAGGAGTATCAGACAACGACGATCACAGGCTGTTGAGCAATTAAAGTCTTATCAAGCACAAATGGGCAAAAGTTCCACTTGCAAAACTGCAATAATTAGTACTCCCAGTTCCCAAACAATTAAAAAGTGTAATTAAAAGGAAAGGTGATGTAACACAGAAGTGCCTCTGTACCAACTTTTTTGAGTATGCTGCAGGCATTAAATTCTGAACTTGTTTATATCTTCAAAATACAATTAAGCTGGTCGATGAACACTGGAAATCTTTCCTTTGTACTTTTATTAGTTAAATAAAGGTTCAAGAGAATTAACAAATCACAGATTCTTGTTTTTATTGCATTTTACAAAATGTCCCAACTGGGGCATTGGGGTTTGTATCACCTATGCGACAGGGACAAAGAGCTAAGAGCACCACGACTAAGGGTCAACCAATTATCATTTCAATATTTTCATTTTGTCACAAAATTACCAAAACTGTAATTTTGACTGTGCTCAAGCATCTCTCGTTCACACACACTTTGAGAATGACACCTGCATTTTGAGTTAGGGGTGGGCAAGATGACAATATTTATTGTTATTGTGATAAATTAAGCATATGGTAGATATGGTCATCACACTGATGCCCCCTCATACCTGTTCCATTATCAAGAGTGCATAAATAGTCTGATTGGATTTATCATAGCACAGTATGTGAAACCCAAACAAAAATCACTGAAGCATAGTACTTTTTAAATGCTGTATAACTGGGGCTTGTTTTTGTCTAATTAACTTATCAAACTTAAGAACAAAAATATCGGCGAACGAAATTCAAAACGAAATATCATGACACTCATTGTGTGCTGCGAAAATGTCTTTATGTGTATATATTTTTACCATATCGCCCAGCACTTTTTATTAAACGACGGAAAACTCTACCAAAAGGCTGTAGGCCTAATGATCTGGCTTTGAACACTATGCACAACCTTTGAATTAGGCTCTTAATCACAAACTTCTCTAATAGCCCCTGCTGTTCAACTTCTCCAACCAGTATGGCTTTAAAAAAAGAAAACCAGTATGAATGATTGTTGTCTTTGAAGACTTGTGAACTGGAACAAATGGACAAAAAGCCTGATGTTGTGCCTAAACGCCCAATTCGTCCTATACAGACAAAGCATGCTGACTAACTCTACACTGTTCTACAGCACCAGAAGGGAGGGTATCAGACAAATGCAGTCAGCCACCGGAAGCCATGCTCATGCTTGCGAGGTACAGATAACATCTTAACAGTGTAAGCAGAGAACAGGACGAAGACCTTGCCTAATTCAATCACCTCGGCATAGTTCATAGAGCGGCAACATCATAAATGAATAAATCCAGCTCATAAATTCCCCTCAAAAACACATCCGTCAGACAAAGTGTCTCCTTTTCTATGCACATGACATCTTCTAATCTAGAACAAAATCCTGCAGAGTAGATTAGATTCAAGAACCTCAGTATAAAGTGGTATGAAATAATTATTTTAATTATTTTGTTAGATATTAAATTAGTTATAACATAGTTATTTTAATTGCAACACCTTTCATTTTAACCAGCAAAAATACAAGTTAGAAGCTTAACCTTTAACACCTAATCAACAGAGACACATGCTTGAATTTGGTGTTTCAAAGACTACAACTCTTATCAGTCCTTTCACCATAAAGTTCGTCAGTATCTCAGTGGCTTTTTCTGTGGTCTGAACTATAATCTCGAAAATCTTTCTTGAGAGACTCCCATCACACCCCCCAGTAGCTCTTTGATTTAACCCTGACAAGGCAGGACTGTGGCTGTTTTAGGCTCAGCTAAAGCGCCTGAAGGGTAGGCAGCAATATACTCTAAACACATGTTTCTGATTTCTCCCACACAGTTTGGAATTTGCTTCTAACCATTCAATCACACAAAGCGAGTTTTAATGAGAACTACTGTTTGATCTGTTGAAACAAGTGTAGTAGGTATCGTTGCTTCCAAAAACAGTAAAAATCGATAGTTTGATAAGCTTGATCGTTAAAATTATTGAAAACAGTAAAGCCATTCAAGCAAACCATATCTAAACCAGTTATCAGTGTAATTATTGCATTTAAAAGTGTCAGCTTGCTTCCTCAACGAAAACTGTCAGATGTTAGAACACAAATTTGTTCTTTATACATTTGTTGAAATTGCTGAATGATTTTCAGACTCTTGATTCATGATATATTTTCCAGCTGTACTTGAGAGGCTCGGTTAGCATTGAGACATAGGCCTCCACCTGACAATCACCTGGTTTTTCCTGTAGTCCTGCTGAGAGTGGCGCAGTACTCTGTAGCATAGTCGACAAATGTGTCTAAATGGGGCATGTCTCTGGTCACCAAGCTCCTCTAGTCGGAGCATGGGTCCATCTCCGCTGTCTGTGAACGGAGCCTGCAGCAGCTTGAAGATCTGCAGAGCAGAAAGCAAGGAGAACATAGACAGAAAAGACCATCAGTGTGGGTAAAATGCATTCAAAAGCAGCACAGCACAAACACTGCTGTAATATGGCATGTGGACCTCACACGAAGATTTCAGCTCTGATTACCAAGGCTGTCCCAATTCAAACTCAGAGATTATAAACGGAAAGGATGAAAGAAGGACATATTGTAGGTTACAGTGGTGGGCTGGTTTCTTTTTTGAAAGCTTCTGTTGCCAGCAGTATCGAAGGTCTTTTTGCCAGCTGTAGTAATACTTCAGACTACAACATAGTGCTGGAAATGAAGAAACCTGGAAATAGTGTTAAAAATTGACGTGTGTAATTTTTTCTACCTGCTTGAGGATATTCTGCTCCCGCATAAGCTTTTGCCGCTCACGGTTTGGTTTGTTGACCATAATTTCCAGCACATCCTGGCCGCTGTTTGGGATGTCCACCACAAAGAAAACCAAATCCTCCAACAGCTTAGTCACAAACCTGCATGGCACCCCAGAAACACAGAAGAGCTTAAGGAGATTATTTTTCATATTTTTTATTTGAAATTCCTGGCTAAACCCACCCACAAATGGACAAAAACCAGGCCAACCTTGTGTTAATAATATCAAAATGATCACTTAGCTCTAAACAGGCATAAAAGTCATTCAACCAGAGATTTATTACCATCTAAACTTTTCATTTGCCTGGCCCAGTCCAAAGAGCCAGATTCATCTATGTAAATCCTTGGATAAATGGAATTTAATGTGAAGCCCTTTAGAAGAAATTAAAAACTTGTGCCCTTTTTGAACACATTTCATCTTGGATGAGTCCAGCCAAACACGCCCAGCTGAAGTCATTCTATCCTACAACATAAAAGTAGTCATCAGCCTGGGCATACCTTCTTTCATTCTGTGTGATGGTACCCTTCTCCAGTTTGCCAGCAATCGATGCCAGCACTTTACTGGCATCATTGGCAAAGTCCAAGTCCCTGACCTCAGCAGGAGGAACTGGCACAATAGCAAAGGCTTCCTTGTCCTCTTTGATGGCGGACGTGCCAATCTGGGTAAGGGGAACACATTTCATTTAACAGTGTTGGCAAGTTGAAACTGCATGATCACTAAAACAGAATTCCACAGATTTCTGCATAACAGAAGCATTAATACGTAAACAAAGTAATTTAGAGTGGACTGATGTGAAATGCAGTTCTAGAGAATGTGTCACCAAATTGTTCATGGCAGCGATGATAAGAACCAGACATCTGAAGCATTTAAAGCCTGTGAAGGCTACCTCGCAGAAAGCTATCACATAAAATGTTACGAATACTTTGCCTGGTCTAAAATGTCTCTTATAATCCATTCCTGGCAGAGAGGTATATGCAGGGCATTGTAACACAAAAAAGCAGCAAAGAGAAAATTTTTTTGGGGTTTACCAAAATTTCATCATCAACATTACATATGAAAACAAAATAAATAACCATTTGTGTTACAGACATTATGACTCCTGGTTTGTATCACCATTGTAAGGAAATCGAAGTCAGTAAGATTCGGTACAATTAACAATTTCACATCAAACCACTCTGAATGACTTAACACTCATCTCAACAATTCAATTACACTGAAATAAAAAGAAAATATTGCCCATTAATCAAAGGTGAGTGAAATTTTACAACACAGAGATATTAAAGCATTCCCTAATTTATCAAATCTACACAGATAAATTTGTACAGAGGTAGAGAGATTATGGCTGTCATGATTACTGGAATTAACTTAATCACTTGTTTAAAAAAACAACTGATTAAAATGTACCTTCTCAATCAATCAGCAATGATTAGTTGTCAATTTGCATAACGATACTGTTTCAGATTCTCCTACTGATCTTTCTTATACTAAGAAAAAGCCTTACGGACAGACGCATTTCAAATACAACTCCTATTAAATGTTTCCTTGTTTATCTTTTTCCCGTAAAATAGTTTGCAATCTTTCAAAGGTTTTATTGGATTTGCTGTTGTTCAGTCAAGTCCATTTTTATTGTTTATCTCTGAATAACTACGTAATAGTAATTACTAGATTTCCAATATAATCGACAGCCCTAAAAAAGAAAAAGAGGATTTGGGGTAATGTGCAGGCTAATAAACTCCGCTCTTTGTTTTGTTTTCTCTCATGTTTGATGTGACTGACCACACCCACCCGAAGCATGACTGGTTTCTCTTCTTCCTTATCAATGGGGTTATTGGTGCTGTGGACCCACGTGTTTGTGCACAAGTGCCGCAACCGCACATATGAGTTCCTGGTGGGACAAGAAAGAGCCGCTTAAACACAACAGACTCAAACCGCAAGAGATTTGCCCTGTGATAATATTCTAATTAGGGGCAAAAGAGGTTAATACGCTTCAAAGTTCTTCAGCATACGGACTGACAAACAGTTTACTCTGTGAACTCACGGTTTCATTTGCTGAAAATACATCTGAACAAACAGATTCATGTCTAAACAAGAAAGAGAAATGCTTATACAATCTACCCCACCATTAGAAAACTCCCAAGATAGATAAACAAAAACCAAGCCAAGTAGTAGCACAGGCAGTTACTGCCTGAACAAGAAAACCACAAGCGAGTTAGCTGATTCTGTCCTCAAAGCCAGAGCTCAAAGCTTAACAACGTATAATGTAAAACAAGATGTCTACATGTTTTTTTCCACTGGTGGGATTAGGTTACTTTTTTTTTCTTACAGTGGTATATTATTCCTAGATGTGTTTTCAGAGCAATAATGTTTACTTGTTTCAGGTGAGCAAAAAGATCTTGTAAAGTGAAACAATTTCCATTTACATTTTACAAATATCACATTTCTTGTGTCATTTTATTTTTTTGAAAAGCTTATTTATTTTCACTCAGTGGTGACCTCTTTACAAAGAGAGAGACAGTGTAGAGGCAGCATTTTAAGAGCCATCCAAATTAATTTCACCCTTTCGGCGTTCCTTCAGATTCTCCTCAGGGGAACCACCCGATGCAGAGGCAAATCATGTGAGGACTGAATATCATTAACTCAGAACACAAACAAGGGGAGGAAGCAGAAAGCACATTCAGATGTTGCATCCTCAGTCTGCCATATGACTCTGATTGTATTTCTGGTATAGATAAGATAAGTAACTGTGTCAGAAAAAAAGGATTCCTACAGACAGAACCAAAACACTTTTCATCATTCACTGAGCTTAAAGTGTTTTAACATGGAATCCATCTGTCAGCTACGGTTGATATTTAGGGTTAACTATTTGAACTATTACCCAGGATTGACACAAGGCATTGCTTCCTAGGCTTCCTGTGTTTTCAGCATGAACTGCAGGCGTGTCCAACTGGATGCAAGTGCTTTCCAATAAGACCTGATATAAATGAGTTCATCTGAGATTCTTTGGAAAAGGGCTAGAATTACTTAAATGACTAGTTCTGACAGGCCACAGATCACTAAATGTGTGTATTTAGGCAAATGATGGTTGCACAATCCTTAAGTAAACTCTCTGAGAATTGTATTTGCTAAAACACACACACACACACACACACAACACCTGCCAGCTATCAAAGCTTGTATTGTTCTGCTCCTGCACTTCCGCATCAGTGTGCACATCCTCATGAGGAACTTGAGCGCCTCTCACCACAGATAACTCAACCTCCCCACATTCTTTCTTCACTAAGAGCAACTAACAGTAAAACAGCTGACTGTCCAAGCCACACACACACACACACACACACACACACACACACACACACACACACACACACACACACACAATGTATTACCTGCACTATCTCTCACTCTCCTCAAAAGTCAATCATTAAAAGAAAAAAAAAAAACATATACATGCAGACTAGAAAATAGGCGATAAGGCAAAAATATAATTCAATTAAATTTTCATTTCATTTCATTTTGTTTATCCTGATAAGATTTATGACTAGAACAGTAATATACTGTCACATGTCTTTCACCTCTTGGTGTTATGGTTTGACATTATTAGGGTATAGTCCAAAAATATCATGGATTCACAGTATCAACGTTTTCAAAACATACAAGGATAAAATTAAAGAGAAAATAATCAAAATGAAAATGAAACTTTGAATAAATAAATAAAATTTAAAAACCAAAGAACAAAAAGGCATGCAGCTCTCAGCCACTAATTTTGCTAATTTTTGTGAATCAATATTACACAATTAGTTGCCAAATATGCTAAATATTCCAAACGTTCTCAAAAACTATGCATGTCAGAATGATTCAACTGTGAAAGAGCTGTCAGATATTTGCTGTTTGGGTTTTAAATAATCACCAATGTCATGTTTACTGTGCATTTGAAAGCTGCTTTTGTGATGTTACTAACACACAATGTTATTTACTAGCTTGGTGAAGTCCTTGTCGCCTATGTGCTCTAGGTGCCCTGAGTGCTTCAGAGCGAATTGAGAAGGAGGGGGTCGCAGCTATAATAGCCATAAGTCCACTGATTTAAGGAACTATAAAGCTGGTTTCACAACGAATGTGGAAAATTCACAGCTGCACTCTGAAAGACATTATTTTAAATAGGATGAGCAGCACAGATGCAGATTTTCGCTGCACAGAGTTCAAAGGCAAGCGCAGCAGAAAACTGCACATTCTGCGAGAGCTGTGAAAGCAGCTTGCCACCGACACGACTGACAAGTGCAACGATACTACATGTGTGACAACAGCTATACTTATAGAAGTGCCTTGACAGAAATGTATTTTAATTAGTATTTTGGAAAAGTAAACAGTGAGGTAACAGTCCTATCAAACACCGCGACAAACCGTTAAATGCTGTAACAACCTTAAGGTTGTTGTCCTGAATACTTGAGTCCACACCTAGAACTAAATATGGTCTCATCTGGGGCAGGGGCTCATCATCATTTGTTTGTTATCACACAAGAAAAATGTTCTCCCGAACTGTGGATCAATCGCACCATCCCAGACTCCACCTTTGTGTGTTTTTGATACGTTTACATATCTCTTTTACTGTCATGTTCCTTTGGTGGGCTACTAGACCTGGGCGATGTAATCAGATATCATGGATGATGGACAAGTAACCCGATGGCGATGTGTAAAAGGCAATTTCGCTGTTTTGGGAAAACAGCAGAGAGAGAATTAGAGAGGACAAATTTACTCTTAAACAGCTTGTAAATATGTTGGGAAACTGGGGTTCACGTTTAAGTGTGTGGGTGGGCACCCTAATGATGAGTTTTTTTCTGTTACAGAAAGAAAAAGAGAGAGAAAGAGAGAGAATTTGATAAGAAGCTGAACCTGTTAGTTCTCAGCTGCACACTGTACTGCCAGCTTTACCACACAGCTCTTCTACTTATTTAACTTATGTTAAGCTTATCTTGACTGAATGGAACTGAAAATAAATGCCAGTGTGCTTTGTAACTTTGGCTTGCCTCAATGTGACTTGCTGCAATAAAAAAACAAGCTGAAATGAGTGAATATTACCCTAGAGCAGCTAGCCCTAACAGGGAGAAAGAGTTATTCCAATCAACTTCTACAGCCGGAAAACAGGACCAGAAAAAGTAATAACTAATATTAGTGTTCCATTCACTTTTTATGTTGGAACACCGAGTTGTTAAGAGGCCTTTAAAAGGCTACGTTACAGTAAATTCCCCAATGCTGTGTAAGATTTACCTAATAAAAGTTTCATTATCTGTACATCTTAGGTGTCCCGGTGGTTAGTTGCATTGAGAAAACAGCTGTAATGGCAAAAAATACCTTTTTTAAAAGCCTATGAACATGGCTTTGAAAATCACTCGCAAGTGTCTGAACTTTCTCCAGCAGGGTGTATCTGGTGGTGGGGGGTGTGGTGCGGTTTGTGACGGGTCAAGGGGTGGGGGTGGTTTTGAGGGGCCGAAGGGGGGATCGAGGTGATATAATCGATAATCATGATTTTTTTTTATCTACAAAATGTGGGCTAATTATTTTTTTAGATATCGCCCAGGCGTATGGGCCTCCGGCACTCAACCAGGGAACCAGGGAACCAGGGATTGAGCTGTACCAAACCCTTAGGGAAAACGGCCCCGGGTCCAGAAAAAGCTCAAATGTGACAGAGAGGATGTCTGAATCTCAAAGTGATCTGACCCAGCCTCAACCTCTACTGAGTTCAGACACATACACATCACTGGGCCACAAACATGGACAGACAATGATTGTATTTCTGGCCAACAGCATTATAACCTAAAAATCTCACTAAAAGGCTTAACTTTGTGTGTGTGTGTGTGTGTGTGTGTGTGTGTGTGTGTGAGTGTGAGTGTGAGTGTGTGTGTGTGTGTGAGTGTGTGTGTATATGCACGTGTGGACTCTATATGCATGCTTGCATCAATTAGTCAAACCTGAAGCAACCCATTGAGGTAAGAAGGGCTTATGTGCTGAGTGTGTGTGCTTATGTATGTGTGTCAATGTGACAGATACAGACAGCACGCACTTTACGACGTGACACACAGCCATGCATCTTACCTACAAACTCAGATCACAGTAATCTCTCACACAGACATGTGCACGCGCACACACACATACACAGAAATACACACACACACACACCAGATCACAACTAAGCTTATCAAAGCATCTACTAGCCGCAGTGTATCGTGAAATCTCGCGCTCAAGGCATGTGACACAAAGGAAGGGAGAGGGGAACCAAAGCAGTATAAATAGCCTGGTATGCCCACAGCCCGTATACCTACTGCAGAAATGAGCAGCATTTACATGATTTAACATGCACAGTGTAGGGCTGAGCGATTAATTGTTTTTCCATCAAAATCACAATTTGAAAAAGTGTATTTCTTTTAAACTTTTAAGTTTTATCTCCCACATTATCCAATGTTGTCTTACACATTTTGAGTGCAGAAATTTAACATAATATGGAGCTTGTTAAACTGCATTCTGGTACACTACATTCAGTGTTCAACCCAAAAAAGTGGAGGTGTTGCAAAAAAGACGTGGCCACAGGCATTAAGCATGCTTAAGCAATAAATGTCAATATAAAAATATAAAGAGATGTAATTATTTTAATTAAATTCATCAACTAAAATGTGATCATAGGGTCAAAAAGAAATTTCACTTTCCACTTGAACACTTCCCTGAAGAAATTTTACGCTATTCACTTCAGGTAAAGGGACAACTTAAGGCCACAATCTACTTAAAATGTTTTATGTAAGTGTTCACAGGGCCTTAATTTTAAAAATAATACAATCACATTGAAATCAAAATAGCAATACTGTTCAGTTAAAATGCAATTAGATATTTTCCACAAATTGTCCAGCCCTAGCACAGTAACACATAAGTAAGTGCTTCACCTTCATAGTAACATAATCAGACTCACATGACCCCTTAGTTTTAAAAGCACATATTATTATATATCGCTGTTGTCGGAAGAAAATTTTGTATCTCCATTTTTGACGTTTTTCTCTTTTTGACATACAAATGCCTGTTGCCCTTTACATTGTATGTAAATTTCATGATGAATGGACTAAAAGATATGACCCAAAATGGCGTGGAAAAAAGTCTGATTCCATTGACTTACATTAAAAGTAAAGAAGGTTTTTTCCTTTGATCCCTTCAATGGATCAATGCATCATTAACAGATGCTGAGACATTCTGCTTACATTTTCTACTTGTTTCACTGAAGATTTGCTGAAGAGTTTAGTACTAATTCAAACAACTGCAATTTTATAAAATTGCATTTTTAATGGGACTGTCAGAGCTAGCTGGGTTAGATTAGATCAGAATCTGGCCTCAGGTATTTAAACAGAAGACAGAATTAAATTCTGCAAAGCTCTTGATCTCCAGGCGCATGACCAAGCGGCAGTGGACCGAATCCTCATCATTCACATTCAGAACCAGAATCCGGGAATTCAGCAGTGGCGGTGAAACAGAAGGGCTGATTACGTCATGAAGAGATGCTTTCCAGATGATTGTCTGTATAAATATGGCAATATGGGGGTGGGATGTTGCGTAACATCTGGCCTGTGCTGTGCTGGAGACGAAACTAGACGGGACGCGATCATGCTGGCAAGTGAAACGGTCACCATGGTTTCCGGCTTGCTCCAAAGGAGGGACTTTCCTGGCTATTTTCACAGAGTGAAGTCAGACTTCAGTGGAAGCTGTGATGAGGGTGTGTGCATGTGAGTATAAACACACACACACACACACACACGCATGCACACACACAGGATGACACGTGAAAACCACACCCTGGCTGGCGCTGGATGAGTTTTAAAGCAGATAGCCAGATGGAAGCGAGTGTGTGAACTGGTTTGAGTGTGCTTCACAGTGTGCAGCACACACTCTAAACCCTGCCACGACTCTGTGAGTCAGATCAGTTTAATGAAATTTGAGTCACTGGCAAACAGGAGACTATAAAAGCTGAACAGCAGCATACAGGAATCCAAGTGAGAGGTTAAGGTCCAAGGTCGCTTCAATGAAAACTACTTTTGAGAAGCAGCTTCAAAACAAAACTGAAACAGCTTAGACGACTGCCTTTGCATTAATTATGATCTTGGATGACTTTAATCCCTTATATGGCCAGGACCTACCAGCAGGCCCAAAGTTTTATCAAACACTAATCTAAGAATGGCACAGCCAGTTTGCATTGAATCCTTGTAGTTACTGAATAATAAGCCTTAATATGTAATAAGCCTGGGATTTTTAGGGTTTAAGGTTGTGTTAGGCAATAGCCATACCCATCAGCTTCCCTCCTGGAAGCCCAAACAGTAGGAGAGATATCAATCCAAAACGTCAAGCAGCATCAACACATCTCTCACATTACAGAACCCTCACAAGGTATCATGTGATCCAGAGGCACTGCCACTCAGACAAAAACCCCAATTAACCCCTAACCCCACTGCAGCTAATCTCTCCCTCAAGACTCCAGACAATCCAATCTGGCCACAGTTAAAATGAAATTTTCATTGAAAAATGTTAACGTGGCACAAGATGTTAACAGGGAGTGAAAGAGGACCAACTAGCTTGAGCTTATTTGTGTAATGGTTTAATTCATTATATGTCACTACGGCTGGCTTGAGCCATTTAAATTCTGGAGTATTATTTTGATACACTGGTGTTCATTTCTCTTATTTCTTTTATTTATTATTCCGAAGCTTTATCTGTTTTTAAGCCGCAGAAAACATAGCCTAACACATTTTTACCAGCAAAGACCTGTAAAAGGAATAGATCATGCCATGTTATCCACATCATCTTGGCTCAGAGTTCAACAAACTGTACCATTTTCCTTCAGAGGAACAGCAACTTTTAGTCATTATCCGCCTCCAGTCAGCCTTCAATTGTTTTAGTTTCCTTTTGAAGTGATTTTTGGTTTTTATTGTTTCTTTTTATTATTCAATTCTTGTTTATTTTAATATTGCCAAGCTATTGTTTTACATCTTGTATTTCTTTGTTTCATTAATTATATATTTTTTATCCTTATTTTATCTTATTTATTAAGTAACTATACTGTTGTAATTTTAATGGCTTACTGATCTAACCTCTTATTATGTACTACTATGATTATTATTTCTTTTTAGCATTTGTAATGCTTTTACTATTTAACTTCTCAATCCATGATCTCTGTATTGGCTACATTGTAAATAAGGGGTTGATTGATTGATTGATTGATTGATTGATTGAACAATTGTGTTGAAGTCCAACTGTGTACCCTAAATAGGTTTTTCCCAGAAGAAAGGTATGCATTTGTACCTTTTCATAACTCAACGTTTAAAAAAGAACACTTAAATAAAAAGGATGGAAACAAGACAGGGCGTGTGAAGTGAATACAACTTAACAAAATATAGTTTTAGTGTATTGAAGTACTGAAGACGTACCCTTGAGGGATACCACCGCACAACTTATACCAAAATTACAAGAAATGTGAGCTTCACTGAAGCGCAATTCTTCAAAAGTAGCTTGTAAGTTACAGAACCAGACCAGTGAGTGCAACTTCACCTTGAAACAAATGGTATGAACTGCCATGTACCTGGGTACGAGGGAATCCCCCCCTCTGAGAGTGGTAGGGTCCAGCTCAAAGATGGAGGAGATGTCGTTGCCGTCGGGAACAGAGACGAGGGTGTACATGACCTTCTCGTTGGGTGTGCGCAGACGTGCTCGCAGAGCCTCATGTTCGGAGTCCAGCTGAGACACAGGAGACAGTTACCATGGAAACCAAGCAACAGAGGTCAGAACACTGCATTTTCACACCACACAAACAGTGTCTACGTAGCACAAACACGAGTCATCCAGACATTATGTTCACGTTCTTTTTTTGGTGTTAAACACAGGCTATAGTGACACTGATCTTTATTTATGAGGCCACATGCAGGCAATTAAAAATGACAAAATATGGTACCGATAAGAATTCTCGCTTAAAATATAACTTAAAATGGGTCCAACAAATATCATAATAGGACCACATTTACTAACAGGTTCTGATATTGAACCTAGTAATATTTATTACACCAGTAAGATCGGCTGTGCTAGCATTTACTCCTTTAAAGTTTAATCTAACTGGGCCCTTGGCTCTCTCCAATTTTAAAAAGGGCCTTTAGAAAGTTGAAATAAACTTGGACTGCTTTAGAAACTTCTTTTTCAGCCTAAAACACTACAATCAACAGAGAAAGCACTGATCATAGTCACTCATATTCAGGCACTGAAAGCAGAGTTGGGCTCATATCTGGCATGATACTGCCATCTACAGGTTTACCTCTGGACTACAAGCAATTCTGTAAGCATAACACCACCTTGTGGTTGTTCAGCAGCATTTATTCAACAGGTGCCAAAACAGAAATTTACTATTTTTCACTAGCTTCAACTCACTGGAAAACCAAGAGATACATTTTACAAAGTTCAAGTTTAAATTTTCTCAAAATAATTATATTTAAAACTCATTGCTTTGGTTGTTCATTAAGCACAGCAAAGGCCCCTAAGCCAGAGGCCTCTCCTGTGGTTAATGAACAAATGGTTTTTCTTTTAATTACCAAAACTTTATTCTTGCTTGTTCTCTCTTTGAGTGTGTTATTTTCCTCAGTTAAATATTTTCTGTTCAACATAAGGCCAGTGACTCAAACATATACATCAATACACATGCACTCTGTACATTCTTCAATACAAGACCAGGTGTTACCTGCAATGTGTAAAAACCACACAGCAGGGTTTTAGGGGAACTGGGAACCAAACATTACAGCACAACAAGATGGTTAAGTTAAACCACAGGATGTAGTATGCACATAGCCACTGTATTCACTAGTGCACAAGGTTGTAGCACGCACCCAATAGGTGCACATGACAACACAACAGTATACTATATACAAGTAAACCAAAGGTTTAGGATGCATATCGTCTGTCCAAAAAGACAAGTATCTCCATTTTTTGCAATTTTTAGTTTTCTGCATAATTTGAGCTCAGCAGCTGTCCTTTACATCATGTGAAAATTTCATGGTGATTGGACCAATAAAAATGCTCCAAAATTACTAATAAAATCTCTTTATACTAACATACATGGAGTAAAGGACAAATTTGCCCTCTCTTGCCAAGTTACCAATTTGGAGATACTTGCTTTTCTTGGGACAGCCACCATATGAAGTTTTGTACAACTATGCAAAACGCAAAAAAAGGGAATGAACATAGGGTTACACATACGCTTGTTCTACATGCTAGAACAGCACAAAAAGCATTTAGGTTCATATGCATCCTAACCAATCAACAGACGGTACCTGGAAGTTAAAGGGAACAAAATCTCCCACCTGGAGCAGAAAACATGATTAGATAAGGACTCAAATGCATATCTCTCTGTCTGTCTCTCTCGTATATAGGCACAGTAAAGACCAAGATAAGTGAACAAACAGGTTGGTACTTACTGAAGAACGTGATTCATGAGACTCTTCCTCATAGTCTGGATTCACCTGAAAATACCCACACAAACGTATGCACAATGAAATTCCAACCTTTACAGTACAGCAAAAGACAACATACTTCTATATTTTTCAGCCAAAGCATTGGTTAAAAAGTTCCCTGAAGAAAAAGCCTAAAATAGGTTGAAACATAAAGCCACCCTATAAAACATTTTTCATTTGGATGCTTTGACACTTTCTAATCAGTGACTCTGATACAGCTGACTGAAACAAGCGATAACTTACAGTGAAGTAGACAAGCAGCTTTCAGCCCAAACCCAGTGCAATTATAATGCTTTATAAATCTCAGGTGTCAAATCTCAAGCAATAGAAAGTCGGAGAGCTGCACTGTTAAGTGTTTTCTCTTCTCTAACATGTACGATTCCTCATTTGAAGAACTTCTCAAATACTAAATATGATGGAGCATGCAAAGCCATTGCATGTGCACACAATGAAACAACTTTTTAAAAATGTCTTTGTATTTGTATTCACTCCTCAGCACTCTTCTTTTCTCTGCTCTGAAACACCTCATTCAACTCATGAGACTTTCTAGACCAGAGTTTGACACCCTCAGTTTAAACACTGTGTTAGTAGCTGTGAGTGCAGTCCCCTACCCAGCGTGAGCAGTTAGAGCTGGCCTGGAAACAGTCGAGAGAGCGTCCGGAAGCAGAACACACCTCACTCACCTCTGCAGCCAGGTAGTGCCCTGTGGCCAGATGCTTAAACCTGAACAGACTGTTCCAGTACCCGGCGCCACCACGGCATGGGTCGTGCTGAACTACCTGACAGATGGAAACAAATTCAATTTAAATCAGGGAGCTGTATTTAAACTGCTATACAGTATTTAACTAGACATGAAAACAACTGCCTGCCATTGAGAAAACAGGTATTTCCACTGGTGTTAGTACACATTTCTCCTTACTGAACTTCCTTGAAAGTTATTCTACTGTATTATTTCAAACAAGGTAATTTCAGGAATCATTTCCATTCAAGAAGCCACAATCCAAAAAGAAAAATGCACTTCTTTTGACCTTGACTGTAACAGTTTCATATCGCTGTTGTCGGAACAAAACCTCATACATCCAAAATGATAACTGTACAGGAGAAGGAAAAAACCTACTGTACATTTAATGTAAGTCAATGGAACCAGCCTTTTTTCCCCAGGTAATTTTGGGTCATTTCTTTGGGTCCGTTCATCATGAAATTTACACATAATGTAAAGGGCAACAGGTACTTGTAAATTATGCCAAAAACTGAAAAATGACAAAAATGGAGACACAAGGTTTTGTTTGACAACAGCGATATGTGACATAGGCTGTTTTTTTTTTTCTTATGTTTGCCTCTGTACTCTGCTAGATGCAAACTTTCACTATTGCGTTTGCTGTTACATTCAGTACGTTTTATGACAATGTTAATTTGTATTTTTAATTGCAAGCATTGGAGAACAGACGAAAACATGTCTCTAGGATAACCATGGCTTATTTACAGTTCTTTTTTACAGATTTCTTTATTAATGAGCAGACATACAGAAAGACTTCTGTCCAGTGCTCACCTCTACTTCCCACAGTGCTTTGCTGCTGGTTGCGGACGTGGCAGACTGGCGCCCTGTAGTCCGGAGGAAGACATACTGCTTCTTCCGGTAATCATCACACGTCAGGAACTTCTCCTGTTCAGCATGGAACAGTCGCACCACATCACCCTGGCAACCAGAGAAAGACATATGATTAACAAAATGGTGGATATGATTAAAGCTGCAACAAGTAATATCTTTAAGGTTTGCTTGCAAGCCACACCGTTTAATCTGCAAGGACATGTCACTTCCTACATGGACAGAAATAGAGATCTGGAATAACTCAAACCTCCCTGCTCTTCTTTTTCTGCTAATGCAAAAACTCACTGGTCAACTGCCTTGCATTGCTAAATTTGCACTGTTGCCTATTTATTTACAATATGTTTCAATTAAAGCAATGTTTCTCAACTTTAATGCTGTGGCGCACCAACACTGCATAGGTTTGTGCTTTAGCATAAGAAGATAATGAGCTAATCAGACAGCAATGGAAAACACAACACTGTGGTGCAGGTGAACTACAGGACTTCAAAATCATGAATTACACTCTATAATCTATTCAAATATTAGAAAAAAACATCACAGTTCCAGGTTTTTCATCCCTGCCAAAAGACTACATTGTGGAATACAATAGAAATGCTGGTTAAAGCTGCACTAAACTTGTTTTTTGTTAAAACTATGACAAGAAACATTACTGGGTCATGAGAAAAAAAACAGTATGTGTGCGCTGCTGCAAGCCTTGTAAAGTCTGAAAGAATAATTTAAAATCAGATGTTTCGAGTCGGATTTCACAGAGGTTTTTTTTAGACCACACCACACGTCTTTACATATTAACATCATACTCAGTCTGAAAAATGATGTTCCGGCTCTATGTTCGGGTCTTAAATGTAATGTTTAGGTCTCATCTGCTCAGGGCAGGGGTCTGAAGCACAACCCACATTACAAAATGTTCCGCCACACGTTGCATGCAATTCCACATTTCCACCAGAGAGGTCTCCAAATCCCCAAAACTTCAGTGCCACTTTAAATTGCCAGCTGGACCAGCAAATAACAGAATTTAATTGATCTAGTCATATAATACGCACCCCTTTTAGAATAGCTTCCTTGTTGTCACTCCATTTCATGAACAAGACTATTTTCCAGCTAGTGTTGCAGTTCACGGAATTCACCTGGACAGAGGGAAAGATGATTATATAAACCATAAACCATTGAGAGCTCATACTGTCAAATCACATACACACAGAAGTAAAATCTCTCTCAAGGACCAACCCTTCAAGAAGCAATCAATCCTATAGTGTGTTTGTTTTATAGACAATGTGATGAATATTACGCTATAGTGTACTTCTTCATCTCACTGTTGATTTTTCTTCTTTTTGATTTCTTCTTATTTGATTTCTGTAACATTTAAGATGTAAAAGAGGATACTGAATCTGAAAGATTTTTTTCTGTGTTCAATCCAATAAACATTTGGTGTTCAAAGAATAATAAGGAGTTTTGTTTTGTATTTTTGGCCACAGCATTGTTTACGCTTGTATTGAGCATTGTGATTCTACACTTGGTAGCTGTATTGAAATCAAAATTCTGGTATCATCACAACCCTACACACAGTCACTTACCATCACTCTAAGCATTTGGGCTTAAACACCCCCCTGGATTTCATCCCCCCATTAAATAAATCTTATTTAAGAAGACAACTAAAGAAAAGGTACGTTCAATGGCCAAACATCTGCTGCAGTGAACCTATCAGCTGCAGCCTTATTCAGGCAATTATTCATTGATTCACAGGAGCCATACACAAAGGATTATGCCTGTCTGCAACAGAGCTGTCCTGCCTTCCGCCCAGTGATTGCTGGGATAGGCTCCAGCTCCCCCCGTGACCCAGAAGGATGAGCGGCTTAAAAAATGTGTGTGTTTGTGTGTGTGTGTGTGTGTGTGTGTGTGTGTGTGTGTGTGCAACCGAGCTGACAGATATAGTGGAGACTATAACTGTAGATCTGCTGGGCTCTCTCTTTCGCTTTCTCTCTGTCTCACACACACATGAGCACACACACACATACACACACATACACACACAAACACACACAAACACACACACCCACACACCCACACACCCACACACACACCCACACACCCACACACCCACACACAAACACCCCAATGTGCACATATATATACAGACAAAAGGCACAGCTGAAAGTGACATGAATGTACCTTGCATTCCATTTGCCATTTTTGTGCCACACCATAGCGGTGGGAGTGTAATCTAACTGAATTCTGATTTAAACTTTATTCAACTAGGCAAATTCCATGAGGTTTCAAACATTACAAGAAGGTCAGCACAAGAAAAGACAGATAAGAAATAACATTATAAACAGTGACAGCCAGGGCAACTACACCACAACAGGGCAAGATGTATGCATCTTACATAGAAATTTGAGTCTAAATATTTCCTCAATCAACTATTTCTTCAATTTGTAACAGAATACTAAGTTCAAATATTCAGTCATCTAAGTATAATACTCAGCTGCTCTGATGGAGTAGTAAATAAAGGCAGATTCAAACCTCATTGCACCCTGGATTGTCCACCAGTTGATGGGTGCTGGCGTGCAGAGGCTGCCCAGCATTTACAGGGTTCAACACCACTTTGTCTCCAATCACCACCTGCAGAAAAACATGCACACATGAACATTCTACTGGATTGTACTGCATACAGCCGGAGAAATATATTTTAGCACAGATTTGCTCGTTTTCTACTTTACTGAAAGGCAAGCCAATACAGATGCTACCAAGTGTGTTAACATTTTCCACCTTGGACTGTTTTACTGTATTTGTAGGAATCCTCAAAACAGTAAGGTGTCTCTCTTTTTTACTGGTTGACTCTGAACCGAGCTGGAAGAGGGCACAAAGATGTTTGGGCGAATACGTTTTCTAACGCCACAGACTGGATGTATCCTTTGCAGTCACTTTTTTTACAACAGTGTCAGCAGACCCACAGACACTAGTTCTTTCTTGTGCCGCACACTAGTGCTATGGTCCTGTTAAAACATAAATGTCTAAATGGCTTTTTTTTAAGCCTTAACTGGTTTTCACATCCATGAGCCTACTACAGGCCTTGATCCACCGTTTTTTTGTTTTACTAAATAGCTATTCTCAGCTTCTACACTATAATTTATATTAAGATTATCTTCACAGATAGGGCACTGAACGTTGAAACATCAATGAGAAAAACAAAATATGAAGCATCATTGCATCTAAGCATTGAAAAAGCATCAAAATATATATTATGGTTCAAAACCTCAGAAAATCCACTCATGTTGTTAAGCTCCAGCTTCAAAAACACCTGATTCCTGTGAGATCTACTTAAGGCAAAGGCAGCTGGAGTTTAAACAAAAATGTGGGCAAAGAACTCTTACTCCGTAACCTAGTTCAATTGCTAAAATCTAAAGTAGAATTTGGGTTTTTGTGACATTATATTTTTTCCATTTGGTTCAGTTGGTTTCACATTGCAACGGTTAAAGTGCACCAGATTATAATTGCGAGTGTTTGTTTACGGGTACTTAGTTATTGGTGTTTTTGCAGAGATGTGCATGTTCTATCATATTTTACACCATTTGAGCCCAAAAAAAAAAAACAACAGACAAACTGAACGTTAAATGTGAATCATAATCAAAGCAATAATAATAAACCTTGATATTTGCATCTTTATGACTGATTTGTCAATTTGATTGCAACCAAGTCGCTGATGCAATACGTTTTATGATCGATGTGTCAAAATTAAAGACACTACTGTGCTATTATTTTATTGCTCTATCATTATTAGCAGCAGCTCATGCTGCAAGAACAATATAAGCTTCTGTGAAGAGTCTAATGTAAAACAGGCAGATCATGTGAACAGTACAGAGCTAATGTGCTGCTAGAAAAAGCAGAAAAGCATGCTCTTACTGAATTCCCTTAGTTGGTGTGGACCATCACAAAAATGTGTTCCTACCAGCAGCAAAATGTGTTCCCAAAGCAGACCGGGACAAGCGATTTTGTCGGACAACAGTTCATTTGTCCAGTGCAAATCCAAGCACGGGTGGAGTGTTCACATCTTCCAAAACAAACTGAACTAAAGAAAAAGTCTGACAGGTCCACACCAAATGGGGTAGGTGTGAAAGTGCCCTTAGAAATGTGGTCACACAAAGCTTCTTTCACTAGATAAATAACCCCACAATTACCTCAGAGGGACATTTTAATAAAAGCTATCTATACATGGAGCAAGCCTCAGAAACGTAAATTACACACATTATCAAGCAAGGCAGCATTAAGAGGCCAAACGGCACATTCTGATACACAGCGCTGATCGCAGCACGCTTTGTCCCTGGCAAATATCCAGCTGGAGACAGGGAGAACAGGGCCAGGCTAGATCTCCCAGCTGAGCATCAAGGCATGGGCTTGAGTGTCAGTATGGTTAGAAGCACTCATGTGTATCTTGAAACAACCCAAATACATTTAGGACCATTTCGAAATCAACCTTAATGAAGCAAGAGAACTTATCAAGGATCACTTCAAGTCTCTGAACATGAACAGTGTATTCCAAGAGAACATGAACAACACTGGTACTCCTGGACCAAAAAACAGTAATGTACAGAGAACATGATCATCTCACACTGTAAGCACTGAAATGATCTTAAACAGATGCTGCAGACCATGGTTGGACCAAAAGCTAAACAACTAAATTTACTCAGGCAAATATTGGCCAGAAGCCACACTTCATATCTGAGGAAACATTTGTTTGGATGACTCACACAGCCTACACATTAACAACCATGTAAGACGCACAATCTGTCAGCTACTTAACAGACACAATGATCTACAGTGTCCTCCTCCTGTATCTCATTCTCTGTTTAACCAGTTTGAAATATCGACTGGTAGCTACAGGGCAATGCTGACTTGAGGACCCCATGCTTGGCACATTTGTGTGTGAGTCAGGTGCTTCAACAAATGCCCCTTGATCTTCAAGAACACCAATCACTAATGGTGGGTGATATGGGAAAAATATTATTTCAGGATACTTGAAGATATTTTCATGATACATAACATGCATCACAACCCTCATCATTATCCAGCATCATTAACCAGCACTGAACACTAAGCACTACAAGAACACATTTTGAAGGCTGTTACCCATCAAACATGACACAAATAAACAGCACAAAAATGCTAAATATACTGACATAATATTTCACATTAAACACTGGACACAATTTTAAAACATCCACCATGTTGTTCTTGGAGTGAAAAAAGTGAACAAATGAGCAGAAGTGCAAAAATAAATCCTTTGCTCCTCACAGAAACAGCCAACAGTGACACCGGGTGGGCTACTTTCCATTTTGGAAAATCCAGTATGTCAGTTTCAACACCTCAGCCAGAAGCTGGATCTTTATAAGAGCTTTTAAACACACTTTGGATGTCTGTAACTCAGTTTGAACTTCTTTTGGAGATGCTAGCACAATTCACGACAAAACAAAGGACAAACTTTCCCTTTTGACAACCGTTAAAAGTTCTTGCTGGGACACAGCCAATCAGTCATCTTAGTTGTGGCCATGCCAATGCCAGAGACGCTGCCCTGCACATTTTAGTGTTTTCTCAGCTCTAATACACCCTGAAAAAGGACTTGTTAATTAGCTGAATACTTCAGGTGTACTACAGCAGAGATACGCATAGACCACGGCTGGGAACTCTTGCAGTTCAGCACTGTAATTTGTCTTTGCATCCATGATTAGCTTGGAGCACAGCAACCCAACATTCAGCAAATTCATCTGTTGTGTTAATGTGCTGAACCTGCATGTGATTGTTAGGAATCTCTAGAATGTTCTCCCCGTCTTCAGACTGTTCTAGAATGATTTCTGCAATTTACATTTGTTCATTTGACTTGTCCGCTCTTTGTCCTGGAACATTCTCGAGGTAAATCCTAATATTTTAGTGTTTTTGTGATTGTAAACGATGGGTCAGTGTCCCCTGTTCTGTACAGGGGGAATACGAGCAGAGCTGTACAAGAACACCAACCCTAACAGGCCCCAATTCATCACTGAAAGCAAATAGGACTGTCTACACAAGCTCTATCATCATGCTACTTCAGAGACTTTGTACAAATGCCACTGGCACACAGCACAGCCTCTTAGTTCTTCAACTAATAGCTCTCTTTCATTGCAAATCTGTCAGTGCAAGCACTCTGCACATTAAGTGCAAACCCGAAATAGGAGTCTCAAAATAAATGTACAATGATGTATTTGCATAGTCTCAGTTCATATACAGTCAAAAAGTAACTTTAGTCAAAAAAAAAATCAATACTCCCAATGCCTGTTTTTATTCATCCATTTCTCGCATTTAACTATAAACAGCTCTAAACAGGTCAAACAAATGCAGAACACTGTATTATAGCACTCAGTTCACAAGATCAGTTGTGCCTTGGGCAATCGCATCTGTGTTCAAGTCTCTGTATGCAACACTGGTATTGCTCTACAAAAGTCAGAAAGATTTCACTTAATACGTTTGCCAACATGCTTTTTGCTATGTATAAATTAATTAATACATTTTTACTCTTTCACCACAGCCCTTGGTCCTCTTTTCACTAAATAGGTTTTATAAAATGCCACTATTGTTATTATCCTTACTGTATCCATCACCATGACAACCCTCCAAGTACTGCATGTGTCAGAAAGAGGGCTCACTTAAACTCTGCATTTTTCGCACTGCAGATTTTGCCCCAAGCACCTCATATTGTGTTTTTGAGACATCTCCAGGTTGGAAACCATGCCCTGGGATTAAAAAGCATACCAGAGATTATGTTTTTTGTCCAGAGAAACTACCTATGTTTTCCTACAAAGCAAGGGCACCTAAACCTACAGTGTCTGCCACAGAATAGTATACTTACAATGTGCCCTATAAATCACCATGGCTTAGCACAGCACTGTGTTGTTACACTGCTTCTTACAGATCACAGAGCACTTATACTGCCCCGTGGTAACCTGTCTTCCATAGAGCTGAGCGATTTACACTGTCTGCTACAGAGTAGAGTGCACTTACACTGTCTCCTATGGACCGGAGTTTGTAGAAGGGCTGGATGTAGAACCAGGAGCCCTCGTTTCCGGCTGAGTCCAGAGTGACTCGCATGGCATTCTTCTCCAACAGGGCAGGCAGACGCTTATTCACTGTCAGGTACTTATTGCTTTTCAAATGCAACAACTGCAAAAGAGATGCATCAGTTATACACACACAAAATCAGGTATGTCAGATGTCCACAGGTGTCTCCAAGCTAGTTTACCTGAATGACGTTGCCATACTGAATGACCGTTCCCAGCAGTTTCCTATTCTCTGATTCGTTCTGTTTCTTCTCCAGATCAGCTGCATGCTGTATAACACACAATAAATATAAAAAAAATAAAAATCAGGCAAAAACAGTGATTCATTTTTGACCATTTTCATTTTTTCTCAATTATTTTGGTCTAAGTCTAGGGCTTTGTATTGAGTGTAAAATAGGTTAAATACACAAGTCGTTCAAATAAACATAGCTTAAAACAGTTTTTCACAGAAATTATAACCCTATTATACTCACTAATCATACAGTGCCAGTGTTAGTCTGCAGCAGCATCTAAACCCTGTCAACCTACTATCACATTTTTTCTGCAACTTTTGCAGCAATGCCAGCACTCTCAGAGAACACTAACTCCACTCATATACACAGCAAAGCTGGCCTCCAACTCAAGGTACACTATATAACCAAGGGAAAAAAAAACAAAAGGCTGGCGGCAAAAGGCTTTTCTACCTTCTGTCCTTCCCAGTAAAAACACAGTCCTCTAGAGATGGCGCATCATACAATATAAGATTTATTTCTGTTGCAGTATGTCTTTGACTGTTTCGGATACAGGCCAAGCTATCCTGTTTGATTTAAATTATCTTAGTGGGCCAACAATCTGCATATGGTTATAATACAGCTGGAACTCAAATGTGAATCACAGCAGTTGTGCAGTGATCTGACCAGGCATAGAGGGACAAAAACTGATAACAATAAAATAAAGCTAAAGAACATTATATATTTCTAACAACAAAATAAGTATTTCCAATGCCTTTTCTGATTAGGAGCATTACAGGATCACAGCTAGTTGTGTATTTGTGTGAAGAGACAGAAACATACATGCAGTTTGTTGAGGAGTACTGTATCTGTAGTGCTGTTGCCACCGGGTTTCGCTGCCTTCCAGAACTGTTTCTGTGCTGAGTACCTATTCATAGGACACAGCTTGAACAGACAGTCTGTGGAGGGAGACAGAGGGAAAAAAAGAAAAAACACCACATGGCATTACTAACACACTGAATATAGGCACAGACACAGAAAAAAAACTTAACTCTCCAACTCCAACAGCCTGACAATGGCTCTATAATTACTGAAACTTTATTTTATTTTAACAGGGCAAATTCCAGTTGTCTATCCTTATATAAAATAACAGTATAGGAAGAAAATAAGTACACTGGGTATAAATGTGCAGCAAGAAACAATCCAATTCTTACAGACACAACACATTTCTTTTGTATATGACAGGAATACTGCAAATTTAAAAGCATTCTGTACCCACTGTTCCACTGAGACACAAAAGATCTATTAGGAAAGGGGAGAAAATATGCTACGCAAGACTGACTGTGCGGGTAATTAAATAACCCAAACATCTTTTAATATTAAAATAAAGACAACTATTCTTTAGATTACACCCTATGTGTCAAACACAAGGCCTGCGGCACAATCCTACTTGGCCCGCAAATTTATTTTTAATTTTTAATTAATATTAGCCCATTTCACCATGAGCTGCACTACAGGTCCCAGCATGCACTGCAATGTAATGTGTGCCCCCACCCCCTCTCCAACAATGACCTATGGGACAGCACCACAAATGAAAAAAAAAAAAAGCCAGGTGTCTATTTCAAGCGAATGGGCAGTTTTGAAAAACCTACTGTACACTGGTGACGTTTAAAGAGGTTGAACAGTTCTCTGCAGCTAATGTAGTCTGCTGTTTTATATAAAAGAATTTGTTTGTATTTAAAATCATTCTTGATTCGTTCAATTATTTAATGCCAATTTTTTGCCGCTGTAGTTTTGGCACATTTTGAACAAACAATGGCCAGTTTGGGTCATGACAAAATGTTAAGTAAAAATAAAATAAACACACAGCTGGTCCACCGATTTGTTGAGTTTTTTTAAAATGGCCCTTTTAGTGGTTCAGTTTGACACCCCTGGGTTACTCCCTTTTTTCATCCAATTTACCCACTCGTCTTTCTGATAGAGGACAGAGAGAGCTGGATGGCCAGAAGAGTGATGAGTCATGGGTCTAAATGAGTCTAAGGGACTAAAGGCTGAATAAAGGGCCTTTGGTGTTGGGTTTTTCAGCCTGTAGGCTACCACTCTTAAAACAAGGACATAATTCCATCACCATAGGAAAGACCTGGGGAGAGAGCTCATCCTGTTCCAACAGAGGCACTGAACATTGAGTTACCAGATAAAGGAGAGGAGAGGGGAGGAGAGGAGAGGGGAGGAGAGGAGAGAAGTATGGAGGAAGCAAAATGGAAAAGGAGGAGAGAAGAAGAGAGGAGAGGAGATTAACTGTCACAGGGATAAAAATAGTCCCTGGTCCACACAGTGCAGAGAGGAACTTTGCCAAACTAGTGCTGGTGTCCTGGGATTTCCAGAGGCGGGGAATGCTGCACTGATGCAAAAAAGGTAGAGAGGTAGGATGGGCGATGTGTGTGTAAAGTAAATGGGCCAGAAGTAAAGGATGGAAGAAAGGGAGGACATTCATTTTTCATTGAGCAAGGTTAAAAAGGGGAGGGAGGAAAAACACATGAAATGTGGGAGCTGAAACCGGATTCTTAGGTCAGTGAGTGAATGAAGGAAAGAGAGCGAAAAAAAAAATGAAAGCCTGAGCGAGAAAGTGAAAGTGACAGATCCTGAAGAGCAAGACAGTCAGAAAAAAAACAGTAATCAATTTATACACTACACTACAACAGCTTCTCTCCTTCTAACTCACACTCTAGAGGCCTGTCGGTTTCTTTTATTTGCTTTAAAATCCAACAAATACAGAAATTGTTCAAGGAAGGAAACATTCTGTTGCTTTCAGTCAACACAGTTATTCAAGTAGAACCAGGCTGGTCTCATACTGTGATGCTCTTTTTCACAGATGTTTCCAGTCCTACAGTATCACCCCACAGCACAGTTTAAAGTTCTGTCTGCTGTAAAACACCATCATTTGACTACAGTGATAATGATCAAGTCCTTCATGAGCTAAAGTAGGAGCACTAGAAGAGAATAAAAACTTATGCTGTTGTGGCCCTACAGGGCAGGAGCTAGAGGACTCGTGCCATATCGTAACGTGAATCAGGTGAGTCATTACATGCCTAACAGGCACCCTCTGTCAAAACAACCAGTGATTATCACATTCCAGCAGTAAAATCAAGAGCTGTATGAAAGTAAAAGTGACCCATGCTGGTTCTTTAGAAGATGAGTAAAGGTAGGAACCAAATCAGTGCAAATTCTGTGTTTCACTGGACTTATAAACAAATAAACAAAAATTAAGGCTAGTGCAAAATTAGTTACCATGTTCTTTTTATTCTTTTTAATTTATATCACGGTATAATTAAGTTTACTGATGGTTTCGGACTACATCACAGTGTAGTGTATTTATGCATTTTTATTCTAATAAAATCTTAAGTGACCCTTTTTTGTAGATTAACAATGGCATATTAATTTGGATGTCCCTTCACTTTTAATAAAAACCATATTTCACAACTGAAGTAATTTTCACTTCAGAGAGAAAAATAGTGAGAAAAACAGAGGTCAATATTGTTTTTTTCTGAGAGCAGCAAAAATGCTGATGAATGCTGTTTTAAATCCACAAGTCATTTGTCTCATATGTGTGTCTCCTACACTCAAGCTTTAATCTATGACCATCAGACAGTGCTGGAATTTAGTAAATATTACAAGCAGTTAACACTATCAGTTTTAGCTGAGTAGGCCAAGACTGCAGCATTGCCTAAAGCAGCTGGCTGAGTGAGGAGCGCCATAGGCAGTGCACACAGACGGAAAGCCGGCTAACAAACTCACCCCAAGAGACTGGCTTTGCCTTCCACTCTCTTTTCTCCCTGTTACCTCAGAGAGAAACATAACTGCTCAGCTGAAGTTAAGAGTGTCTGTAAGTCCCTCTGAAGACAGACTAGCATCAAACAATACTCGATTTGGGACGTACAGGAGCTTCCTTTTTTAACACTAAAATTATGCTACACACCTATAAGCCATTACAACCATCTGAAATCACAGTAAGAAAAATGACAGACTGTTGCTTTAAGAGCTCTTGTTACGCAGACTGGAGTGAAATGCAAAAGTGCAGGAAGATCAGGTCTCATTTTTCAAATTCCTCACAACCGTTTAGCACATATTGCCTGAAGTAGGTCAAGTTTCCCTACAGTGCAAAACCTCTCCCTGACTGAGACATTACACTGTTAGAAACAAAGGTTCTGTGCAGGCACATTTTTTGTTCATCAAGTATAAACAATGTAAATGTACCCCCAAAGGTACAACAGTGGTTTTAAGGCCCAATTATGTACCCTAAGTAATTTTTCCCAGGTGGAAAGTATGGATTCGTACCTTTTCATAACCTAATGCTTTAAAATAAAACAATAAAACAAAAAGCCTGGAGACGAGGCGGGGTGTGTGGAGTCAATACGACTTAGAAAATGTCATTTCAATGAATTATGGTACAATTATGTTGCCGGACTAAAGGTACTGAGATGTACCCTTGAGGGTACCCCCCCAGTGACAAGAGGGGAACTGCCCCAGTGACAGTTTAGTACCTTTATTTCTGAGAGTGTACAACTGGCATCTGCAACTCTTTTGTACCTATTATCATCAACAGGTACATGTGGGCAAGCTACTTAAACCTACTTAAACCAAGCTGGCCAAAGTGTGCAATAAGACAACATTCAAAGTAGAGACCACAGTAAACAAGATATAAAACACTGACAGTCCAAACAGATTATTGTCCCAAAGCTACATGTATGAACGAGACACACTACACGGCGGTGATCCAAAAAAGAGCTTCTGGGCAACGGGCAGAGATTCCCTGGAAATCAGCGCCATTTAAATGGGCTTATGCGGCCTATTGATGCCATTACTGAGCTGTAGATTTAGTACCAATATGCTCCCTGTAAGTTGAGGAAAGCAGTCATGGAGGTTAGCCAAGCAACAACCCCATAGAGTCTACCTGGGCTACCTGCAGGAAGGGGGGCATGTATGCTTTATTTAACCCTGCAGGACACAGATACATATTTCAGCCCTAGAAATCAAGCTGTCTGTGTTAAATAACTTGGACACTGATCTACAAATTACAGTGGTGAACTCATATTCTCCCTCAATTTAAAAAGATGTTAAGCAATTTGCCTTAAAATTTAAATTGACCCAATTCGTCTTGTTTTACAGTGCGGTATTTATTTAGTGAATTTATTTCCTGAATTTCTAGATGATTTCAGAAATAGTCCAGCCAGTTGAGCCTGGGTGCATGCATAGTTTAAGCCCCTTCCCCTCCCCTGTAACTTTACACTGGTAGCATGTAGGACTTCACGAAAGACGGCAAATGAGATATCATCATAAGAGAGCGAGGGGCGTATTGGTTTTAAATTACAGTTTTACATTTCTATACAGTGTGAACTAAGGACGTTGTGCTTTTTACCTTTGGTGTAAGGGGAACACAGCTCTCTGTTCAAACAGACTGAGCCGATGAGCTAGAGCACAACAGAAACAAATAAGCTCCTGAGGTAGCATTAATAAACAAAAAATAAACCAGCAAAATATTAAAGTCCATCATCCATTAAATGTTAAACCAAAGTTGAACAACTATTGGTAAATATTGAACAGTGCTAAGCAAAGAAGAGCAGACCCGATTATGCCAGCACCAGCTTAGCAGACTTATAAAATAGCATTAAACAGGTTAGATAAAATAAAATACCATTAGACAGGTTGGAGTCTTTTTGTCACTCTATCACCAGTCAATTGACTTCACTCGCTCCGATTTGAGTCTTTATCCTGTAAACTTGCGGATATCAAACCTGTGTTGTGGTGTACAAGAAAACAGTCTGCTCACTAAGCCAACGCCAGCGTCTGATACAACCAAGGACAGTATAATGGAACAAGATTAGCACAGCCAACTACTCAACACACAAAAATTATTCACTGACTCACGTTTTCAGTCTTTATTCACATAAGGTGCATCAAT